TAAAAACCTTGACCTTAGACGCCATGTACACACTTTGAAAATCCACGTAACGCGTCTATGCTTCCAGCGCAATCATGCTTTTTGTCTATAATTTAAAACTAGCTATTGCGTCACATTTGCTCAGATTTTTACATGTAGCAGTAGCACGGGACATTACCATGGGCACAGTTGTCCATACCAGGTCCAAAAACATAATCTGAGATAATCAGTGAAGTTCACTAAAAGCATTACTCCTTCAATGTCGGCAAAAAAGCGTGACTTGTCAAAAATGCTATCATTATTTATATTTTCAAACAAATGGCGTGATGTTCTTTGTATATTAACTCCAGCCATTGTATCATTGCGACAGTACCGTTGGGAATGGATGGAGTAGTGACGTCATCCCTCTGTAGGAGAAGTCTTCCACGGCGAGGATTCGCTGTGCATTATGTGACACGGACATGAGCACGATAGGAGGGGGAGGGCATGACCATCGTGGATATTTTCCCCAGAAATTGGCTTTTTCGCTACCCCAGTGGTGAAACATAAATATATGTGATAGCACTATTTATCAAATTCGCCTATTCAATTATGTCACCACTTAAGCGTGAGGCTTGGCGTAGAACAGGCTCCGGGTGAAAATATCACACGTGCGTCATAATTGACGTCACTTCCAAGATAACCGATGCACGCCAGTTCCTGAAGTAGCCCGGATTCGTCGTATCGCCATGGAAACACCACTCGTAGCCCGGCTCCGGGGAACCAACTCAAATTCGGTGGTGTCATGCTCTGTACGCTGAGGTCAGTATTTTTGACGATGCTGTTCTACAAGATAATGAGGACACGTTGGAACGTATTCGTGCATAGTATGGCAGAAAGACGCCGGCCTCGTAACTCAGACGCACTTAGCACGAGCTCAGGGCGGGCTCGTTGGTCGGTGGGCGGGCGTAGAAAAGTCAGCTGGCACGAGAAGGCAATGCTGTAGAAAAGTAAGGATGACAAAATCCTTATACGTTTCTGCCTGTCGAACAAAGTCAAATGTGATATTATTTATTTTCAGCCGTGTCGACGCCCTTCTCCCGGCTTTTTGTGCAAGTTGAAAATTACGTCATTCTTACGTTAATCTGATGGGGATAGTGGTATTTTGTCGAACATATAGTGTGGCAAGAAACCGTGCGTGGTCGCAGAGTTTGTGAGGAAATCATTTCAAATTTAGACAGCACAGCTTCTAAAAAGTTTCTCTTCTTGTCCCTAAAACCCGTATGAAAAAGGGATCAGTAGACTCAATGCTATTTACGCTGTAAATCAGGGCGCCTGTAGAATTATGAAGTGACTCAAAGGGTTAAATGGAGGGTTATGGTCAGGATTCACAAGAAATCGTGCTCTACCAAACGTGCTGGCAGTGGTGCCAATCGACGTTGAGCACCTCGCAGCATGTCCAGTTTAAGATGACGTCATCGGTGCTTCGGGAATTGATCTGCCGTAGTCACGCCGTTTAGAGTCATCAGTCGATATGGTCGTTACACGGTGGTGCCGTGCATCTCCGGTGTTCTAGAGGTCCAGTTTCACTAGCAAACTCGGGAATCCCCCGCTAACACAATTCCCTGTACATGTTTGTACAGGGAACCTTTCATCCTTTGGAACGCTTCTAAAGAACATGATGTCTTCACTGCTATGCCTTCAAGCCAGTAATGAGAATGAGCCCACCTGGTGGTGCATCTGCTGTCATGTTCATCTGCTCAGTGTGGCTTGTAGTCGTGCATTATTCACATCCTCGTCGTATTTGGAGGACATAAGCGCATTCCGGTCGGCGACGTAGCCCAATTACGGTGTCAGCTCGCGACGTAGTGGTCCTGTGGGTGAGATTTGACCGGTTCGTTGTAGCTGATGGCGTGAGGAGCGCTGTTTTTTTGTGCTGTCATGTTCAGTGGCAACACGGGTTCGTCGCGGTCAGTCTCTTGTCGTAGGTGGGGTAGCAAGGTGAGGTAACACTGTTATTCCGAACCCTCACCATGCAGTGGAATTTAAACTTTGAATTGCTGTTTTTAGGTCCTTCCTATGCACCCTGTACACGACAGTTAATTGTGGTACTTTATCATGCATCATTAAGTTGGTTCTCAACACAGACGGCAGGGATCTTCAGGCGCCTACTGGCATCGCCATCTATTGAGCAGAAGAATAACCAGAGCACCAAGCGCAGCTGATTGTTGAGGCCCATGCATCGGTTTTATACCCCATGGATGGAACACCAGGAGGTTAACTTTAAGGAAAATCGGTTAGAAGTGTGAAACGAGGGGCTCATGCCCACAAATATCACAGCGTCGAATTGAAGTTCCTCCAACAAAAGCGATGTATCGAATACCTGCTATATACTTAGCATGAATTTCATTTTATCTAAGAAGGTAAACTTTGTGCACAAAGCGACTTTGACCTAGGTAATTCAATAGGAGGAACGTGCTAAAAAGACATATGAGCTGCGAGCTACGGGTTAAGCTAATGTTTTTTTCGAACACATTGTGCCTTCGTTTGTGGTTTTATATAAATATTGTTAAAGAACAGATGGTCTCCGTAAGTCGGCGCCGTATAGCAGCCCTGGCGTGTACACGTCACCTCTAGCCTTTCCCTTTCTTCAGACTAAAACGCCGAAAACTAAACAGTCATCACATCTGTGTGCACTAATGATATAAAAGATCACAAACACATGGGCCAAGGGTGAAAATCATGCGATTACAAGACAATGCCGATAACGTCAATTACGCTAAACGACGACAGCTGTCCGTGCCTCATAAATAATGATAACACATCAATCGAAAACTAAATCCTGCCTGGACCCAAGAACGGGTAAGTTCCGCCAGTGTCGCATTCTCGGTCATTCTACAGCAGATGTGTGCACTGCGCACGGGGTCACTGTGTGGCCTACAGTCTGCAGCTCTATGACACCCAGTGGCCGCGGTCTGTGTGGCCTGCAGTCTGCAGCTCTGTGACACCCAGTGACCGCGGTCTGTGTGGCCTGCAGTCTGCAGCTCTGTGACACCCAGTGACCGCGATCTGTGTGGCCTGCAGTCTGCAGCTCTGTGACACCCAGTGACCGCGGTCTGTGTGGCCTGCAGTCTGCAGCTCTGTGACACCCAGTGACCGCGGTCTGTGTGGCCTGCAGTCTGCAGCTCTGTGACACCCAGTGACTGCGGTCTGTGTGACCTGCAGTCTGCAGCTCTGTGACACCCAGTGACGCGGTGAATGGCGACTCGGTAACACATTCTACCAACCAACCGATGTGATCGCTGTGGCTGATGGCGTCAAAATTCCTGTCGGGCAACAGGTACGACCACACCTCGTTACATTCCTGGCCTCGGTATCAAACAGTTCTAGCCAAGGTTTTGTGACGGATCTCCTCCTCACGGTCACCGAGCATGGTCAGGAGGATGGCTTCCGGGTAATCCTTACAGCATGGCCCGAGGCCTTCCTTGAGGTGTGATTGGAAGTTTAGGTGGTGGCCGGCTGCTGTTGGTCTCCGGTACAGCGATGTCTTGGACTTGCTGTTAGTTGTCTCGACTTCTGTATCTAGGAACAGTAGTCTCTTCTAGTTCTCACGATCGTACTGACCTCATTCTGCAGTCCGGGTCTATAATTGGTTATATAGAAGATTACTTGGGTCTGACAAGAAAATCCGAAATGAAAGCTATGTCGAACTGTCAGCATGACAACAAATTCAGCGGTGTCGAAATTTGCCAGTGATTATTTGCCCTTTAAAAAGACCCTGGTCAGCGGGTCAACTAAAATGATTTGATGCTGTAGGCCGACAACCATGTTGCGTTGCGGCTGATGGCACTGTGAGAGTGGTATGAGATTTATACGGTTGCACCCTCCGCACGCAATCATAATTATTTTTTAAAGGGTTATATCATTATAATTTGCCAATGTGGTGGACAAAACAGGGGGGGGGGGGGGTCCACCCGCGTGCGAGCCAAGAATGAGTGGGGTGACGAGAGCCCCAACGGATGCGTATCCTTGGAGTGAGTGTGGTGAGGTGCCGAACGCATAAAGTCCGTGTGGATCAGCTAAGGCCGAGGGTTTGCCCCGTTTAAATAACATCATCAGCTAAAGTATGGAGGTGGTGTACCGAGTTTAGGGGCGCACAGCCACGTATGGAGAGACAGCCGTTCATGGTGCCTGGCCGGACCCACCGTTCCGGCAATACAGTTCCACTGCACAATAGTAGTTTCACAATACAGTTCACCCGCCTCATCCTAGCTGTGCGGCCCACATGATTGTGGGTTGATGCCGGGTGCACCGGAGTCACAACGTGCCGAGTCGTGCGCTAGCATCATCTGACTCGCGCGCTGACCAATGGGCTCCTCAACACGAAGTCGCTCTTGTGAGGAGGCGTGACGGCAGCAGTCGGCAACGCACCGACAACCAGCAGCAATGTGGCAGCAGAGCAACGCACACATCCCACCACAGAAATGCCCCCCCCCACAATATTTTCTGCCACACTCCCGGTAGGACATCCCTCACCAACGTTTCGGTGACGTTGTGGCATGTTCTCTTGAGGCTACACCTCTTAGGTGCATGGGCTATCTTCTCTTAAAGTAGGTCAGTTCCTGATGTAGCGTTTTCTCGAGCAATTTGTATCGGTATAAAAGTTGATAAAAGCATTTAAGTATTGCAGCTTTGGAAAAATTATTTTCTAGCAGAAGTCTTTGCAGCTTCATGATAGCTCGGTGGCTGAATGTTTTTCGTCGAGCTAGTGCATGTTTCTTGTTCCGTGATAAATTCATTCATGGTCCATGATCTCACTTTGCCAGCTTCGGACAGCTAGCTCGATCAGTTTGACAGTTTTAGGGGGTGACTTCTTACATGGTGTGCCGTTTTCATGTTCTTTGCTCCATGCTTTTGCCTGTCTTCTATTTCATCAGCAGCTGAGGTGTTGGAGAAGACGCCGTTTCTGATGGAAAACGCGCCAAAAAATAGGAACCGGGATCCGAAGTAATGTCTAGTTCGTGTGGAAAAGTTGCTGTTCCGCTCCTTTTGTATCGTCGAGGACACCCACCACATGCATATAGACATCTCTCTCGGCAGCTGCTTTGCTCCGGACAAAGCCCTAAAGCTTCCCCTGGTGAGCAAGGAGAGGCAAGCTGGGAAATCAGTTTTTTTTTAGACCGAAACATGCCACCGATCATGCACTAGGTGTTCCTGTCATGCACAGCTAGACAGGTTGGTATACTTGGCAAATATAAGACAATTAATTGTTTCACACTGTCAACGAGGCTAGACCAATTGCGGTTCCAAACACAAAAACAAAACAACCTGACACACGTGCATTCATGAAGACCTGACAACTTCTACGCCCAACCTAGCCCAACGAGTAAACTTACAGCTGAGGGCGACCTGTCCGACAACCTGTGGCGGTCATCTCTCATGACGGAGTCGTAGAACGTCGGTCTAAGAGTCTTATTCATCCCTATGTCATATGTTGGCTTGCTAGCGACTTGCTAAATCTGTGGATGACTCCGTGCGTCATCTGATAACTGCGCCGTGCAACCGAACGTCGGCGTCATTTATCAACTTGCCGTCATGAGCAGATTCAAACGCTGACATGACGATGCATTCTGGGCAACTATTCCACGAATGTGAACAACCTCCTGCTGCATAACTACACTTAACCGCTCTACTTCACGCAGCGGTGCGCAACAGCACACGCAAATATCACGAAAATGCTTTAGACGTGCACATACTCAGAGACCTAATCTGCAAGTGGCATTTGCATGTCGCTCAGTCCGACGTTGTCACTGGCATTATCGTCAAAGGCAGCACGCGAAGGGAGGCGGCACGTTCGCGTACCCATTCAGTGCACCTCCTCGTCCCAGAGGCGTCGCTGCAGGATGCCGCGCCGCGTCGGTTAGGCGAAGCTCCTTGAGTTGGGTCACCTGTTCTAATGGAGCCCCTCCACACTCTTTACCACTGTCGTCAGCGGCGGAACAGACTATTCAAAGTTTTGCGCGCCAAAACAGGTCAGCCAGTCCAAACGGCTCCAGTGTTCCGCGTCGACCGACCGGTCGCGTGTGGCTGATAAGATTCAGCCGAATCCGTCAAAGATCCGACCTGGATTTCGGACCCTCTCGACCTGAAATGACATTAGTCTCTTCGAATTTCTCCGTCAGCTCAGGCGAGTGGACTACGGCTTGCGCTGATACGCGTCAAAGCCGGTGTCACCGGCCCAGTTGGTGGGCCCGTTGGCCAGGTAGGCGGCACTCTGCGACGTCCGCAGCGGCTCCGGCTTGTTTACGGGCTTCGAAGATCCCTTGCAGGAGAAGGCGAACTTCAGCTCCTTGGCCATCTCGTTCATCAGGGACGTCTGTTGGGAATATAACTCGGCGTTAGTGGAAGGGGATAGCCCAAGTCGAGCAGTCAAACATGATTGCTTCACGCCAAGAACTATATGCAGCCTTCTCGTAATCTGACCACATCCTCGTGATGTTTGACCGCGAAGCTGGGTGTACAGACAGCTTAGTTCACCCCAGTAGTCTATAACGTATACAACGGCTCTGTTCGATCGCCACTCACGTGCTCGGCGTGTGCCAGCTTGCGGGACTTCCAGATGAACTCGCTGAAGGCGATTATAACGGCCACGCACATGCCACCCAGCAGCACGACGAACACGCCGCCCACGTTGTCGATGCCAAGCTCGTTGGCGTTGACCTTGTTGTCATCCGGCTGGGGGAGCGTGGCTAGATTAGAGGGCAGCATTGCGCAGTCGGGAGTGTGCAGAAAGCGGGGTCAAAATGGGTAGGATGTCAGATGAAATTAGGATCATACTGCTCGGTTGGAATAGTCCACTCAGGTATACCATTGTAGATTGGCAACAACAAAGGGTCGTTGAAGGTTTTACTGAACTTTTGAAACTAGGTAGTTGGCGTACATCATGGAACGAACCCTTACGCCTCGGTCACTGACTCCGACTCACGGACATAGACGTCACCCGTAACGGCTTTGTTTCTGCCCCCCCCCCCCCCCACACCAGTCATTTTATCACAGATGAAGAATACGCATGATCAAACATATATTATGCAGATTATGGAAGCGATTTAAGGGCAATTATCAAGCGACGTGTGTACAAATTTTTCGTCATTTGTGGCTGAAAAACTCACGCATGACTCGGTCGACTTCCACCAACGGTTTTTTAGTTCAAGCAGAGTTCCCTCTTCCTGAATCTCTAATATAGCTGAGTTGATGATGGGTGTGTATGGGGATCCTGTCAGAAAATAACTACGTGTCAACTATGCGTGCACAACACAAACATTGACGCACCATTACAGCTGATGACTTGCAGTAACGCCGCCTAAACAATGCAGTAATAATTAAAACGGCTCAAGGGAAAGGGTCACGCGTTCCGAAAATTAGCACACAACCTACACGGTATCCACCAAATTAATCTCAGCCTATTAAAACAAAATAACCCCTTTTAAAAACAAACATTGCCGTGAATCACTTGATAGCAGCGTAACTGAGAAGAACCCAAGTGTATAGTTAAGCTCGAGTGAATCGCCCATCTAAAACTTAAAAAAACCACAGCTGGAGATGATCTGGTCCCGTCCGGACCGGCCGTTACCGTCGCCTACCCGCCAGCCGGCGGTGACCGCGCGTGCTCGCCGTCTCACCGGGCTGCAGGGCAATGCCGTAGCTCTTGTGGTCGAGCAGACCGCCGATCTGCGTGAGCTCACAGTTGCGCTCCAGCACGTATTCGATGCCGGCCGACTCCATCAGGAAGGCGTACTTGCCCTTCTTCACACGCTCGACGCCGGCGTCCGACGAGTCCACGTACACCGACGGCCGAGCAGTCTCCATGAAGTTGTACATGCGTCTGTAGTGTTCCTTGCTCGAGTCCCTGCGTCGCGTCGGAGACGGGGCTGAGACGGCGGCGGCGACAGCGGCCGAGGCCCACTTGGGGAGAGGCGCAAGTGTCCGTGCTTCTTCTGCATTGCATGCTGGCCCACGGGTGTCAGAGAAAATACGAAATGAAAGCGGCCGGGGAGTCCCTATTTCCAAGTTCATTATTACAGCGCACCAAACACGACATTAGAAGCTCCCAAGAGACCCAAATACAAGAAGGATAATGTGACCGTCTTCAACTGCTGTCCTCGAAAAGAGAACGTTATGAGGACTCATGTCATGAGTCCGTCGGGGCCTGCCCCCCGAAAATCCCGGGTGATTATCTGACCTCCGCTGTCCAACAGCGTACCAGGAGCAGCAGCTGTCCAACCTCAGCGCATTAGGCAAACGCTAGGTTTTCAACAACAACAAAATGGAAGAAGGGTGGGAACGGCTCCCTGCTCAAAACCTGAGGCATCTAGTTCGCGAAATCTGGCCACTGTTACATCGCAGGACATCCTCGCTCCCTTCCCTTCCCGAAAATCTCAGACCCAGTTCTGATCGTCACTAACAAAGCTCCCCTACATCTCCATAGCACACGTACACTGCGCTGCCTGGCGCCATCACAGTGTCCGTACGGTCCGCCAACGCGCTCACCGGAAGAAATACTTGGTGGAGCCAGTGTTCTTGGCGCCATACTTGATGGCCGTCTGCTTGGAGAGGTCCTCGGCAGACTTGATCGGCGTCTCCATGCGGCCGGCCGTCAGAAAGGCGGCCAAGTTGGCCGTGTAGGACGAGATCATGATGAGCGTGAACACCCACCACCAGGCGGCCACCATACGCGTGGAGACGGCCCTGGCACACGGGCCGGGTCAGTAGGGGTCACAGGAAGGGGCGGGGGCGAGCGACGCGAACCGGGCCAGGTGATCGGTGACACGGTGTTGGCCGGGAGGGGTGTACTCTGCTGCACGGCGTAGGAACGTGCCAAAAAGTGCATGGGCCAAACCAATTCAGGACTTTATTTCCTTACGGGACCAATGTTAAAAAAAACGCGAAAATAGGTGTGGCCGCAGACCATTTGGCAACGAATCGCATCTTATAGCCACAGATATTTTCTGCAGTGTCCGAGGCCCATGGTGGACTACAAGCTTTGACTTGCAGTCACTAGATCATTGACAGGCTACCTTCGCGAGATGGCGGAGCTCATTGACAATAAATATCTTTAGATTACTGGCTACTTTGGAGACAATGGGCTAGTTCCCAACTTATATTGCCCAAGCATTGACATTGTGCCATTCACAATAAAGGACCTCACGGCTTGGGTAAAACCATGGGGTACCCATGAAGAATGGTAACGGATTTAGTTAGGAACGGGTTTTGGAAAAATTATGCGGATGAGTATGAGTGAGACACTTGCGAAACTTACACGAAACTTACTGAAGGGGGTATATGAATAGCTTAATGGGTAGTGGATGAATTGGGTACAGGATATTTGTCTCATGAAAGCTCTATTTACAACCATCAAGACCTTGCATTAAGGGCAATGAAGCTGCCTGGGCACTGTCTTGCAATGAAACTGCCCGGGCACATGTTTATGGATGGACAACGAAGTTCCCTATTACTGGACCTGCCACTGTCAGCTTTTGAGTGGGTCGCAGCAGAAGTCAGATGAGCGACCACGAACGCAACCCAAATGTCTTAGATATGCATTGTTTAACAAGACAAGTCCTGGTTCGCAGGTTCAATACCAATAAACGTAACTATTCTTCTGCGATTTTGACTTTGGTGATCTACATGGTTCAAGGGGAGTATCAAGTCAGGATTTCACTTCGGCCCGGCAGCTCAGCCGTATGTCACACTTACAATCAACATTCTCCATTCACCGACATGCACATGCAAAGAGTGCACCGCAAACATCAAGTCACATGCTTTGGCTGGCGAAAGAAGCATGCTGGATGTTTTAGGCTCACATATGTAGTTCGTACCATCGCTATCCAAAGCCCAATAGCCGGGTAGATGGGAGTAACTGCATCGCCGTGGTCGTTTGAATAGGTTGATGGCAGTCTTAAAGGAAGTTTCCCACCTTATGGGGCATATTTCAAACATATTTTCTGATCAAACGTCAGGAGCAGTTACATCTAATGATAGTGCTGGGTAGTGTCGCTGCAGCACCGTCAAGACGTAATAAGGACATCCAATTTAACTATCTTTTAGTCCAAATGACGCTGTCAACGTTTTGTAACAGCACTTTGGTTCTTCGAAGCAGCCACAACCACCGTCGTCATGACAACCTCCGTGGCACCTCTACTAGTGCAAATAAAAACACGTCCGTGATTGGCACAGCGGCTGCAAGGCCAGTTACCAAGAAGTCAGTTGGTAGAAGTTTGAACCAGTGTGTTACGATAGATTATGTGTGCTTCGTTTTCCAAAGTCGAAATGGGTTTCCAAAAGAGTCCCTGTAGTGAACGCCATAGGCGAGATATCACAACTTTAGTATAACGTTTAATCGAATTCACGTGATAAAAGCTTTATGTTCGCATATATTTTGGTTTAAAGAGAGTGTTTTAAGCTTTCGTAGCATTTATCACACAAGCATTCTGACAAATCAGTGCGTTGCAAACATCACAGAACACATGTAAAAACTAACGCAAATAAAATGTATTGCTTTCATAGTGGTGACCAGTGAATCCAACGAGATTTCTCCCACGAGAGTGTTTACTTCGAATCAAAATTCTAAGCTATTCAGAAGGATTGTGAGAATACTGGTATTACTGGTCAAATCGTGCGCGTCTGATCTAACAATAACTGAAAAGTACAAATAGGTGGCATACTCCCTTTAAGCAAGCATATATCATATTTGCGGTACTGGAGGTAGCTTGAAGTTGGATAGGACGACGTGGACAGTACAAATAGGGTAGGCAATTGTACATGTATTGTGCCGACTTGATGTTGGGACATTAAGCCCTCGAAACCTGGATTTCGTGTGCCGTTGCCGGGGGGTCTATGGTTGTCATATCAGCGAAGGACCATTGTGAATATGAATGAAATTTTGATGCCGTATATTTTAGAGCTGTGTCTTGTGGTAATATACTTCATGTGCCGCCCGCAACGAATGCCAATGAATGCGGCAATAGGTCAGAGCATGGCAATTCGCATTAGGTCTATAGGTCTCATTCACATCATAATATTCGCATTAGGTCTATATTAGGTCGCAATTCGCATTAGGTCTATAGGTCTCATTCACATCATAATACAGACAGGTAACATAACCTGTAGCCTAGGGCTCAAACTCTGAAGGCCATCTCAGAACTTGAATTTCTAATGCCCGTCTTCCCAAGCTTGTTATAATACATATGTGTCTGCTGCCCAGCTCGATAAATTGCAAGCTGAAAACGTAGAGCATGTTTTCGAGACACATCTTCAAGTATATAGTCTAAGTGACCCATGGAGTATATCATTAATACCACACACAGTGTGCACGGCGAGCAGTTAAGTTTGGCTGCTCCAGACAATGAGTCAGAATATTAACTTAAAGATAGCTCGTGTGCATACATCCAGCAATTTTATTTGGTTGATGGAGACAGCGGGTTAAAAGTCTGCTACGAAGCAGCTTTAAGATGTCCACTTATGAGCAAGGCTGGGCTGTCTGATTGCATAATGTTTCCATTCCATCAGTCTAAATTACACACCATGAAATACATTAAGGCATCATCGGAAATGACATGTGAGCAAAACAACAGTTCATATCAGTCTGCGTAGAGCCATAATTTCAATGACAAAGAATCCTCGTTGCACTTGGGTGTAATGCATCCGTTGAACCAGAACTGCTGTTTCACATTCAGTTCTAGGGGCTCAAGCCCTCTCAATTTGGGTGCCAGCCCTCCCCCCAATTATGGAAGGCGCTAAATCCAGATAGAACGCTGCTTCTTTGACAATTTTGGTGGTAAAGTTTGCCCTTTTTCACTGCTCAGTTTCCTCAACTCGTTTTGCAATCCTACGGCTCGGTTTTGAATAAAAGGTGGAGGCCAAAATGACTGTATGGAATCGGGTCTTAGCAACTAGAGCGGACATACCAAAACTTTTTAAACGGCATTTGTGTGGTAAAATATGCTTGTTGCGCACTTCCTGATGTCCAGTTATAGGAACACAAAGGCTGCCTCCTCACAGCACGTCTTAGAGCATCTTCAATAGGTTTCATACGCGTTGAGCAGTGTCTGTTTTGTAAACATTGAGCACATTTGCAACATAAGCAGCCAACTACAGCGTCCAAAAACTGTATCATTTTGAAAATGCATATTTCACAGCAATACCATCAGTGGACTTCTTTTGTCGACGTGATTCTAAAAGAATGAAACATTAGTGGACTTAAAACACGCTTTAAACACGTTTGGGTGGTCAGGGTCAAACTGACCCCCTCCGAAGGTTTTTCCAGGATCTTTTCAGAACAGCGCAGCGTGGCCGCGCTTAACTTTGCATAGTCGTTTTCGAATTGAATAGCAAGTCTTTTGGTGGAACAAATTAGACGTAACTTGTAAGGTCGTTTACCTATGGCAAGTCAAAGTCAGGCTATGACTGTCAGAGAAGGGCATTTCTAGGGAATCGTTCAATATGATGCAACAACGAAGTGTTAGACGAAGCCATACATGTCTGAGATAGTTTCTTAGGCAAAAAGCCGATTGAATTTAGAATTGCAACTACTTCCATTGAACTAGTGTTGGATGTAAATGTCACAACGAGGTCAAAACTAATCTGCTTTTTACTCGAGAGCTTGGTTTCATGGGGTAGTTCTGATGCTCACTTCGAGTTTATTCATTACAGGGACCTCAACAGACATGTCACATGGACTTTTTCGAGGTCAGAGTAAAATGACCCAGATCAACATTTTGTTTCTCGGGCCATATCACCTAGCGTAATTCGTGTTGCTTATTCGAATGGCAAATTAGGGGCGATCTCGTAAATATTTGGTCACCTTTACCTTACACAGGTAAAGAAGGTCACTGACCTCACTGACATTTTGCTTAGAACAGGCATCTAGCTTTATGGCGGTTGTATGTGTCTGAAGGCACCTTAAACATCGATATGGAATTAAACCTTGTTTGACCTTATTTGACCCGAAGGTCGTGGCCTAGGAACATCAAAATTTGACACAAGTGAGGTCACGTAAACGGTTAATTTGTCCTGTGAGTTTGGTGTCTCTAGTTATCTTACGTTTTGAGATCTCAGGAAGGGTTCAAATTGACCCCCGCCCACCCGAGCAGAGGGTATTCGGTCGGCCACCCTGGCGCGTGTTAAAATGCAGAGCACACTGTCTGTACCGTCCAAGTAGGTTGCTTATGTTTAATATTTATGGACATTCAAATGTGTATAGGCAGAATCACATTTAGAAAACCCGAAAATTTATCATGGTCGATGCGGATGGAATCGAAATGCTTTTGTAATTCAAATTCACGAGGGGGGGGGGGGAAGCGCACACTTTAACGTGCACTTTTCCTTAATCGGTAGCATGAATCTGGTGTTGTGGCATTTCCAAGCATGGTTTTAAGATGAAGGACTTACAGGCCGCTTCACATATTCTAAGAAAACATACAGAAACTAGCCGTGCCAACGTTCCTCAACAAGCAAGCATCATACGCTATTTCAAACTATGTTATGTTTACTAACGTTCCTCCTTATGTAAGTGCTCGACTCGCATCAGGCTGTGACTTTGCCTCCAAACCAATGAACTCTTAATCTATCAAGCTAGCAATTGACTCCCGCTACATTAAGCCCGTGCCGGATAGTTTGGCGCTGAGGCGTTACACTTCAGTTAATCCAACGGTTCAGAAGATTTACATGCCCCGACAAACGTCTTGGTTAATCACAGACGGGATACGATTCCCGTATTGTGGTTTCGGTTGCTGCCCTGCTGCGGCGCCGGCGCCCCGCTCCAGGGGATGACACGGGAGGCAATTTAGAGAGCTGAGCGTTCAGATGACTGAGCGAAAGCTCTCTCTCCTATCGCGAGCAGGCAGCTATTATGCAGTACTAGGGGTAGTCTACTGGGCGCCGAGCGCCTTATCGCCGCCCCACGTACTTGGGGTTTATATCACACCCCTGCTGCATCAACGACCCAATGGTGAACCAGAAGGAGTTGCGAAGGTTCATTTCGTCCACCAGGAAGTCGGGCTCAGCGCCGGCCATACTGCACACGCTCGGCTCCTCCCACTCCTGAGGGCTAAGCCTGCGGGCCACACCGGGGTCAGGCGGGTCACACGGGGTCAGCGGCCGGGTCACGCCGCCGCTCGAGGTCAGGAGGGGTGGACCGGCAGGGCTCGGCTGGTCGCCGCTCTTGTTGCCTGGAACCGAAATTCGTAGACCATTTCTGTGTTGTTTTTTAGATTGTCAGAGAGTTGGTATGTGGTCATGATGTCGTGACGTCAAAAGATGACACCAAACCACGTCAAATGTAATGATGACGCCAAACCGTGGCTTGAACAAATCGGCAGATGGAATGGCTTGCGTTAATGCCGACAAATGCCATATTTCTTTCGACCGAACTAAAACGCTGCTTCCCCGATTAGAGCCGACAAATGTGACCTTATCAGCGCGCTGGGATGAATTCGTTTGCCCGTCACGACATTTTCAGACCGATCGATTAAAAAGCCAAGTGGTCTCTGATGTTCGGTTCTCAGGCCAGCGGCTATGTGATACTCCCAAACCATTGTGTCAGGAGATGCCACTGATTTTGCCCCTTCAGTTTCGAGAGCCCTGTGTTGTTTGACAGTGAATCCAAAGAGGCCTCGCTAAATTATTTGTTTTAATCCTGAACACTAAATGAGAGAAATGAGCCCTGGACTGTAAAACAACAGGTGTCCCTGTTAGGTCTGATCGCTCCGGTTGAATGCGATTTGGAAAGTGCAACCTGCGCCATGTGATAACCGGCAGGCAATTCTCACAGCGGCTGACCTTGAGCTCGTGCACATACGGAAAGTATGTGGGTAGCAATAACTGCTTGTGCAATGTGCATGCCGCAATGACAAGCCTAGTGTGAGGAATATTGTGGATAGCGGCATTGCTGTAATGTTTAACTTGAAATTCTCAGCGCAAATAGTACGACTCCTTCCGATGTTCATTTACATCAGAAGGCCACTCGACTTCTTCTACAAGTCGAGTTTCAGGCGTGGTTCTGCCCGCACGGCGCGTACCACACGTGAGGCCATCCCATGCGGCGGCACGTGATGTGACCGCCTCGAAGTCAGCGGGGGACGGGCATTTGCGCACACCAAAGGCACCCAAGCCGCCCGAGATGGAGAGAGAAGGAGAGAGAGAGTGCGCCACGGCACAGCCAGGCCCCGCCGGAGGAACTGCACACCAAACTGCAGTCAAGCACACGGCCAGCCGCACCGCACCGCGGCGCTGAAACGGACGCCGAGATTTACTTGGGGGCGATCTCCGAACCCTGCTGCATGAGCGATCCTATGGTGAACCAGAGCGAGTTAAGCATAGTAAACTGGTTCTCAAGCACATCGGGCTCCTCGATACAGGGGTTGGGGTTGTCCCACTCCTCCGGTGCCAGTCTGCGGGCGGAACAGGCAGAGGTCAGGGGCGCCGGCGGCGCCGGCCACGGTCCGCCAGCTCGCACGCAACGACGAACCTCTGCCAAGTCATCAGCATGTGTAATAGTGGCGAGTCCTCTGCGTTGATGTCATGAACTTGCCAAAAGTACATACAAAAAACTAAGAAAGCACGCTAACTGTGACGATGCAGATCTATTGTATCTCCTGTATCTGTGCGATCTTTTGTATCTACTACATTTTATCAACAATGCGCATGTATTGTGTCTGTTGTAATCTGTTTTATCACCATGACATTCAAACTGGCGTGAAACTGATGTTCTACAACAGAAATACAAGGATCTCAGTCTCCCAGCACTTTTGTCAGCGGCTTGTGCAAGAAGGAGTGGAGCAGGCACGCTTTGATTCGCATGCTGCACGTCTCGGCTCCTCAGCGCCGACACAGCACCTGGCCAGGATGAAGAGCAGCACGGAGACGCCGAGGTACGCGGTGCCCATGTAGATCCACACCTCAGCCGACAACGGGCCCATGAAGGAGAATAGCCGCGGCGGCGCCTTCACCGGCTTCCGGTAGAGAATACTGATGCCTGCGAACAGGCGGCGGCGCGCAGCGTGTGACTCCGTAACATGGTCAGGTAGACACCACGGTGCAGGGTCTGACGCCCGCCGTCAATGTCAGACATGCGCGCGGGCGTCATCCGCCATTGTCGAAGGATAAGCGATGTGCAGGCGTTTGGTGTGTCCCCATCTCGTCCGGTTCTAGACGGTTGCGTTCGCTGACCCGCCGAGCGTTACGCGGTCGCCGGTCAACCGGAAAAGGCTGCCAGATAAGGTGCACGTGAGCGATCGTGAGGCCACTTCGACCGCGCAGCTTCAAAAGCTGTAGACAACATTCCTTCAGACCATGTCGGCAAACAGCCCGGCCACCCTGACGAGAACCTGGATAGTTCTCTGGAAACCGCGACCGGAGCCTTCGGTGCTTCACCGACGTCTACGTACCGAGGTTCATCCAAGGCATGGAGAAGTCGACGCCTCGTTCCCGCTCCAGGGTGATGCTCAGATCAGCTATGGCCATGTCCGCCGTCTGAAAACAGTTGTTAGGTGAGCTGGCAAGGTTTGCCGTTAGGTCATCAACTGTGCTGGCAAGGTGAACCATAAGTCATCAGTTGTGCTGACAAGGTTCGCTGTCAAGCCATTAGTTGCCCTGGCAAGGTTCGCTGTCAAAGGGAGTATTCTACCTTTTTGCAATTTTGCACTTATTGTTACGTTAGGCGTGTACGATTTGCCCAGTGCTACCAGTTCTCTCGAAACCCTTCTGAATAGCTCAGAACTTTGATCTCAAGTAGCCACTTCTGCGGGATAAATGCTATTGGACTCGCTGGTCACCGCTATGAAAGTAAAACGTTTAATTCGCCTGTCTTTTTTCAAAATATGTATTCCATAATGTTTGCAACGCAGTAATGTGCCAAAACGGTCGTGTAATAAATACTACGAAAGCTTGAAACACTCTGTTGAGACAGATATGCGAACACGAAGCTATTTTTTCGCGAATTCAACGAAACGTTACACTAAGGCCTCGATTTCTCCCCTGCGCGTTTACCACAGTGGCTCCTTACGAGGCGCACTTTCGCCTTGGGAATGGGAGTATCACACGGCCCATGTGACTTACTGGTTCAAGTTTTAACCAATGCACTTCTCGGTAATCGCAAATGCGGAGCCAATCGCAAAATTTGGGGTTTGTTTTGTTCTGTTTTTTATTCGCGCCAGTGGAGGTGCACACGGTAGTTGTCATGACGACGGTGGCCGCGACTGCGGAGGAGAAGTGTGCTGCTGTTACAAAGCGTCGACAGCGTAATTTGAACTCGAAAATGATCAAAATCGATATATTTAATTCTTGACGGCGCTGCAGTGACACTGCCCTGTGCTGCTATTAGCTGTAACTGGTCCTAAGGTTTCACTACATTATGCCTTTTGAAATATGCCCCAAAGGTGGGACACTTTCTTTAAGTCAAAAGTTGTGCTGGCAAGATTCGCGGTAAGGTCCTGAGTGTGGTTTAATCTTTAACATAAGTGGAGCGTCATTATTTTTAGTATCATGTTTCACACTTTTGTGCAATCACATTTTGTCATAAGTTGTGAGCACCGTCTAAGAGCATCACAGCGCTATGGTTACAAGCCACATAAAATTTAATGGGGGATCGATGACAACATTTTTTCAAAACTAGGTTATCCAGGCACTGTGAACAAGATACGTCAACCTACGACTAAAACGGCATAAAACAAATAGGATTGTATGCGCGTGGCCCAGCCCCTCTCATCCAGCGATATTTGCGCATTCACTGCACATCTGGCTGTGATCAAACCTGCACGACCAGCATTGACAAGTCAACTGCACCCTGTGCCTTGCCACATACGTGAGAGATTGCGTACGCTTCATTCTTCGCTGCTGGACTTCACCTGGGTTTTCGTGTTCTTGCTTAAGTGCTAGTTGCGGGGAGAATATCATGTGTCACTGCCATCTCGAATGAAACGATAAAGAAGCTATGGTCATTCGAGACATAAAACCCGGCATGAACAAGCACGTAACAAGCTTTTTTGAGCTAGCATGCGGTCTGGCAACAACGTATTATAGACACCTTTAATGTTCTGTGGTTGTCTTTTTAGTGCCCACAGCAAGTGTGTTTTTCCTCAACGAAACGGAAAGCGTATTTCAGTAGCATTCCCTAAATGTAAAAGTGAATGAAGTGGATCGCAAGTTCACGATTAGAAGTGAGGTTGCCGCATCTACTTATTCGTTTGTCAATTACGAAGGATTGCGTTCCAGAATAAAACTCCTTTTCTCTGGGATCTCTCGTGTTTTCGCATTAATCTGCGTCGTGGGTCGTTTTTTGTAATTCATTATATCCGACTCAGGGAAGAGTTGATCATTAGCACATTACGAAATTGTTGCGCCAGGCACTCTCAGAACAAAACTGTAATCATTTCAAACACCACCAAATAACGACGACTTGCCCTTACATTTTCCATGAGTTCCTTGATCATTCCGGAAGGTCCATCCTTTTCACTATAGCTGCCGTACTGGTTGTCAGGAGAGGCGTGGTATATAACAGAAAATTTTTTCATTTCCGCGATCGCATTCATCAGATCGATGCAAAACCCCTTAAATTGCTGCTTTCCTGATCCATCCGTAGCATTAGCAATCATGACGTAGGGATTTGCCTGGAAAAGTAAGGAAAACAAGAGTCAGTCTACACCGCGGGCTCACAAATGAATGCGGATGTACTTGATTTATATAATTCAAGGTTAAAAAATTGACAGCAGGGAAGGACTGTCACCACACCACACGACCATGAGCAATATGATCTTGATGAATACAAAGTCTGCATGAAGAAATATTACGCAACCTGTTTTATCTATCCCTACGACGGGCAAGTTGCGTATCTGGCTTGGTATGGAAGTGGACGTCAATGCATGCAATGGACTGAATTTAGTTCAAATTAGAGCATTTATAGGGCGTGTAGCACACTGGTCACGTAAGTTCTTTTCACGCCAGCACGATAAGACAACAACCTAATTTGGTACTAAATCTGAAATATACCAGAGGATAAACATAAGCAAAACCCATCGTTGGCTGTCGGACTTGTCGAAATAGCCAGTCAATTTAGTTTGGACGCGTTTTTGTAAATGAAGTACTGCAACCGTGAAATGACGAAGTAGCACATGATGATGAAAAAATCGCATCCGCAGTAGAAATATGCTTTTTTGATAGCTCAGGCAGCACACCATGGATTTCACTCTTGCTTATCCTATCCTTCGTGCATTTCAGATTTGGTACCAAATAGGTACCTATCTAATGGTGCTAACATGGCGATGGCTATTGGTAGCAATCAGCGCGGGCAAATGACGTAAACTCTAACCTCCGTTCATTACGTGGCATAAGCGCTTATATACGCTCGTTGTCCATAGCCGATCCCAGGTCCATGCGATTTGGCTTCAACCATGCTAAGTCAACACCCCGAAACGACGATGAGCAACTGTATGTGCATTTTCAAAAATTGACACCGAAGAGAGAAAACCAGGCCATTCGAATACAGAACTCAACTCCCGAGTCAATCTAACGAAAACGTAGCTAACTTTGTAAATGGCAAAACACAGCTTCACTATCGCATCAACATCTTCGAAATTTCACGTGCGCAAACTTTCAGCCGAGTTGCAACGACTCCAGCTTGAATGTGAAACTCAAATCGAATGTTTACCCCAGAAATGTATAAATAAATACCTGTCCAGCGCATTAGGCAGCAACCGTTCTAACCAGCCCCGCCGAGCGCCCAGGCGACGACGGCCAGTACCACGCACCGTTCCGACGACTACGCGGAAGGTGCGGTTGGCCATGCTGGTGGCGATCTCCTCCTCCTTCTGGCCCCAGGTGCGCGTGTAGTTGACGCCGCCGCGGAGTGACCACGAGCCGACCGTCTTCATGCCGGCCGCGCCCAGCTCCAGCACGTCCAGCTCGAAGTCGTGCCGGAGGCCGTCCTTGCTCAGCCGGATCAGCCCGCTGCGACCCAGCATCTGCATCTGCGGGTGGGCAGCGGATGTTGGGCTCGGCGGTGGGGCCTGTACCGGCCGGAGCAGCCGGCTGAGACCTAACACTGCAACTGCGGGCAGCCAACGGATGTTGGGGTCGGTGATGAGGCCTGCACAGACTGGAGCAGCCCGCTGCGACCCATCATCTGCATCTGCGGGCAGGCAGCTGGTGTTGGGGTCATTGCTGGGGCCTGCACAAGTGCTCGGCATAGGCAACAGGAACAAGGGCTCCTTGAGACAGGAGTGGGCGAGCGTCTGCAGCTGGCGGACGGCATCGGGGCCTGTGACGTGTGCTGCCGGAGCGACCGCCAGGATCTGATGCACGCATGAGAGCTGACGTTGGCATTTGTCACCAAGAGTCGGGGCGGACTTCCGTACGTTTCGCGCAAAACCTTGACGTGTACAACACGCGGCCGTCAGACAACGTGGGATTTCCGAGGCGGCCTCGTGGGAGCCGGTGTGCTACCTCCAGCAGGTGCTCCATGATGCGGGAGCCGTTCCTGCCCCATTGCTGGTCTCTCTCGCAGTCCAGCAGAGGTACGTTGATGGGTCCGATAATGTCGTTATCGAGCAGCGACTTGGAGAATAGGTGTAGGGCGTCATACAGCAGTGCTGACGTCGTCTGCGAAGGGAAAGGTTGAGGGTGGTTGATGGACTTATGGTTAAATATGATATGGTGATATGATGAGATATGATAATGTTATATGACATATGATTATATATATATATATATATATATATATATATATATATATCCAACATGATGTTTAGATATGACGAGGGTAGACCCAGTCCCGAATATCAATAAACAACACGCTGAACACGACAAAGGTTTCGGCAGTTTGCTTCTCAATCAGCATCGAGGTCGTTGCGAGATCATCCGTCCTCAGGGTATTTTCGTGTTCATTGCTCAAGCGAAGTGAAGCCAAGAATACACAACTGAATAAAAAAAGAGTGGAACACTCTTAAAGAGGGACACTTAAGACAATACGTGGACCGCTCACTCGCGGGACACCTGATCTCCAAAGCGTAGAATTCAGGCAATGGCAGCGCCTTCCAGCAACTGTACCATACCACCACCAGCTGCTCAGCCCACAATATCAAGCCAGACCCACCCGGGCCCCGGTAGTGGTTACCAATATCCTGGAGGTGATCGTCTGCCAGTCCGGAGAGCGCACGCACGAATGGCCCTGGTGCCAGTTGTTTCGGAGCAGGCTGAAGCCGGTGATGTTCACCCGCGCCTGCTGGCTCTGGTAGTAGGTCAGGTCCACCGTGTGGAGGTCCTGTCGACATAGCAGACTAGAGCTGCAGCGCAGAACGTCGTGCAGCCAGTGTCCAGAGTCATAACATAGCTTTGTCCACCATAACAGTACTTTTACAACTAATGTTGACAAGCAGACGAAGCGACAAAAACCGACCCTTAATATAACAAAAATTATTTGTAGGCATGTAATATGATACCAAACCATAGCACTAAAAACTCGACGTTACCTTTTCTGGTGATCATGTTCAAGAGTGATAATCTCCAATAAAGCAACTGCGTTAAAAATTTCGTCGTCTCCCTCCGCATCTTCACCAGAAGTGATAAGCGACACTCATGATAACGATCACGAACCGAAGCGTAAAGTCTTTTAAATGTGATGTTTCAATATTCCACATGTTCACCGGTAACTTCTGGTGTATCTAAGTTCGATTTGACCACAGATAAAATAATTAATCATACCATCGCCATTGTCTGGTGGGTTAATAATGTGCGCAACACTTTGGCCAGTCAGCTATGCGGCAATCTTCAGGTGCTATTGGGTTCTGAGAGGGACTATATAGTGTTTGTCTTTCAAACATATACACGTCACATTCCGAATTTCTTCCTTGGAAATTCTGGTATTCGGATCGGGGTCTCCTGGTTGCAATTTCAGGGCTCTACCAACTAAGCTAACCGAAAAAGACTCACTTCTTAATCTTCGCTGTAACGGTATTCAAGATCGTCGATTATGATCATTGTGTCTTTTTAGCGTCACCAACATTGAAAATTCCAGAAATTAGCGACTTAGGCCTTTTGGATCACAGTAAGCACCTATAGACACATCTATTCCCATCGTAAGTCGACCGTGAAAAGAAATGTTGACCGTTCAGAAGAACAAAGGAGGTCCAACTGCCTGCAGCGAGCATGTCTTAAACATCGTTACATGATAACTGAGCTTCAGGAGGGGCTGAGGTGGTCATGAACGTGATGCATCGTTTATGCCTTTGAAACTTGAGTTGAAGGCATTTATTGCATGGGACACAACGTCGACGTCTGGAATCTCACCCGCGGCTTGACCGTGCTGCTAGGGGACATGTTTGAGCGGTGGCATTTGCCGTGCCAAACACACGTGCTGGACTCCGACGTCTAGAATCTCACACGCGGCTTGACCGTGCCGCTAGGGGACATGTCTGAGCGGTGACATTTGCCGTGCCAAACACACGTGCTGGACTCCGACGTCTGGTATCTCACACGCGGCTTGACCGTGCTGCTAGGGGACATGTCTGAGCGGTGACATTTACCGTGCCAAACACACGTGTTGGACTCCGACGTTGCGCAGCACGATCTGCGCTGGCAGGAGCTCACAGACTAACCAGGGATGTGAACATGAAGCTGTAGTACTCGCTGACCAGGCCGATCTGGTTAGCCTGATCCAGGACGACGTTGATCAGCTCGACGCGACAGTCGATCACCAGATGCCGGTTCAACGTTCGCTTGATCATCTTCAGGAACGGCCTGAAGCGGGGCGCACTCAGCAAGGACGCTGGCAACCTGTCTTTCTACTGTTCCGCTCGGTCAAATCTCACTGGCGGTGGCAGGATTTGTTGCTGCGTTACACGCCTCACATCGCGTTCGGACATATGCTCAAAAATATTGACGCATGGGTCTAAAAATCCAAGGAGTGACTGTGACCCCGCACTTGGTTTGAAAAAGGGGATATGTGTCTTTTTGAGGAAGGAGATGTAGCGAGTTATGTTAAGATACACCAGAAACTAAAGAGAATTTTGGTACATAGTATGACGCAGAGGTGTACGGAGGTTCGATGTGGCACGTACTGCCCATTCGTAACGGTCCCTTGAATAGTCCAGTGAGGTGAATCACGAGAGACTCCCCCTCGGAACACAGGATGCAGACTCCTGCCGCCATTCTAAAACTGTGCCAGGTCATCATAAGGCGTGCAGAAAACCGCACACAAAATATATCCGGTAGGAGCTTCGGACAGCTGGACCAGGTCATCACCAGGACCAGAACCAGGTCAGGAGGATCCCTGAAGGTGGACAGTGAGTAATACCTGAAGTCTTGCTGGCTGTCAGTGGGAAGCTGCGCCAGGTGAACCTTGTACTGGGGCTGCCTGAACTGCGTCAGGATCTTCTGCAGTCGAATCAGGCCATCACCATCTTCGTAAATAGCCACAAACTGGTTTGTGTTCCACTCCCGTACCAGAGACACATAGGCCTGAAAGCGTATGGATATGGTGACGGAGCGATGATGATGACTGAGAAATATTAGCCGCGATAAGATTGCTGTGCAGAGTGTTGGTGATCGGTGGCGCTGTGATGAATGGTTCACGTTCGTCAAGAGCGACTAGATCTATCGTTGGGCCTCTCCTAAGCTTACGCATGAAAGACCTTCGTCGCTCTCATCTGATGTCTCCATGAGCACAATCTCACCTCAACAAAAAATGTCGATTAATAAACCATCTCCTGAGACGGATTGTGACCACTCGCTGTTAATAACGACGTCCTCGATTTCGCCCCGCCGGTGGAAGTCGGACTCTAAGCCCAGCCCTGCCTTGCCTCTTGTCTGCATCGCACTGGCTCCGCTCACCTGGCTCAGCTCAGGCGCGTTGGCGTACAGGCTACCCATGAACTGCTCGCCCATATCTCTCTGTCGCTCACCTGGTTCAGTTCGTGTGCGTTGGGGTACAGGTTGGCGGTGAACTGCTGGCCGTTCCAGCCTGCCGTGGAGAACGTCTGAGGCGTGGAGTAGCTCCAGCGCGCCTCCAGGTGCGGCACGGCCATGTTGTGGCAGACCGCCTGGATGTGGCGTGAGGTGGTGGAGGACGCCTGCGGCCCGACGACGGCCGCCAGACCCTGACTGCCCAGCAGGCCGCACACTGCCGCCGGAGGAGGGAACGATGTCGCTGAGACCGCACCACGGCGCCACGACTTTGCCCCACCACCGCGGCGGGAGGGACATAGGTCGCTGGCACCCCGCCCCACAGCACGTCGCAGGGTGCTGTGACGAAGCGTCCTCGGTCGTGCACTGCCATAGGCGTCTTCGGCCATGTCACTGGGACTCCACTACAGCAGGCCACGCGGTGCCAGCATCGGAGGACGTGGTGGCATGGGGACAGCATACCAGCGGATCGGGGTATGTAAAAAAAAACTTGTCCCAGCGCACGCGGTGCCGCGTGGGCCTAACACCTGCGGGACATCGTATCGTCCGGGAAAAGCGGTACAAAATGTCATTTCTTAGATCTGACGTGAACCGAAGCTTTACCTGGGCTAAGTGCATTCAATAGAATCCCAATTCAGAATGCAGAGCCGCGCTCAGGAGTGAAGGAGCAGCCTGCACGAAAGCAAACTCAACACCACACTGAGGCCGAAGCACACATCTACACGCGGCCAACGAGGAAGCCAGTCGTGAACTGCTCCCGCATCATGTTCGCTCCCCGACCTCACCATCTTTGGCCGCCTTGTAGCTGTCGCCGGGGTAGACGGTGACGGCAGTGCCCACCAGACGGCTGCCCATCAAGCACTCGAAGTTGGCGTTCACTTCGTCCACGGCGTTCTGAAACGCCTGGATGTCCCCGGAATCGCCCGAGTCGAACAGGCCGACTAAAGCAGAGGCAAGGCGGGAACGGGCGTGTGAATCGCAGTCGTCGGCGAGGCGTAAGAACTGTGTAAGAACATTTTGCTGCGTTTTCTGGTCTCTTAGACCGTGCACCAATTTATGTCAGTGTGCGTCTGAGGAGTACTTTTCGATACGCGCACGTGTTTGAAGTGCTTTTCAAGTAAGTCAGAAGAGCGAGCGGACTCGATCTATTAACACCATTATACGCGAACTGCCCTTGATTGTTTCATTTAAGCTATCGTCAGTCTAAATCGACCATACCCAAGCCAACATCAAAAATCTATTGGCAATTAAACGCAACTGTATGCCCCCAAAAGTCACACATTTCGCTAAGAGTGGCTGGCAGCCCTTCAAAAACAACAACACGCGTACTGCGACAGTCATCTTTGAGGCATCGGACTTAAGGACAACCGACTCTGTTTTTCGGATGTTCTGTGAGATTACGCTGCCTTAGCGGACTGCCTGGCTTGCTGCATATTGGTACTGAGTTATTGATACTCAATTTCATCCAATTTTAAATAATAAGGTGGCCGTTTCCACAAGAGCCAAACTGCGCTGCAGACTGCCAAATATTTTCGCAACGCCTACGGCGCATTGGCAGGGCTTCTCAAACACATGTCCCGTCGCTAGCTACCGGCTAATGTACTGGTGACGCTGCACTGCGTCAAACGAGTACGGCGATGGTGGCGCCGACACTCGAAGCGAGGTAGTGATGCTCACAGTTTTGACGTTTTCTTATTTGAGATTTAATAATAATTTTGTGTTCAGTTGATCCAGGTGTGATCTACACTGTCAAAAACAGCGATGATCAGCCCCTACGCGGTCATCACAGAATGTGCGGTTCCAGATGGCTTGCGAGGTAGTGAATTTTTATGACAGCTTCCAAGAGTGGAAGCTGCCATACAGGTTAATACCACACCCGTAAAAGGGACTGGTTCCGCCTCTAAATTTGTTATGATTGTCACACTATAGACTAAGACAGCACCACATTGAATGCCTCTCATTGGCCCAGTATTTAGACCAAAACTTTGGATTATTTTTTTTAGTGCGCAGGGAACAACTTGACGAAAAGAAAGGGGGTTACTGAGCTATCAGTGTTGCACATGCCTCGTAGATCTTACGTTCTACTACGCCAAGACACTGACGTATCTTCGTTCTGGAAGCTCTCCAAGGCGAAAAACAGGAGGTTACGACGCTCCACGACGCATTTCTAACTCTTTATCTGCCAAATCTTAGCCAGGGATTCGAGAGCGTAAAGGCGTTACGTCATGTTTGCCATCAATGCTGGTAGGTATCCGTAAAGTCGTCCAAAGTCAGCAGAATTCATTTTGAAAATTTCATCAATTTGGCTATTAAACGCGTTAGGGTTGAGGCCATTTCAGGTCAAGGTTACGTGAGATACTGTGTTCAAAGCAACTCGATGTTTTGGAGGTACGCCTTTAAGATTGCATCATTGTTGTGCATTCATATAATACGTGCTAGGTCAAACACGGCCAACGTCATTGAACAACATTCCCTCCGGTGACATCACGCAACCATTTTAATGTGAGCCGTGAATTGCTTGGCTTATGTCATATTTACTCTGTGCGCATATGCAAAGGTACCTTAGAGATGGTAGAAACGAGAACACGTTGGCCTCGTCTGGTCTGACCTGCCTGATTACTCACAAGAAGTACCTCAAAATGGCCTGGCCTAAGGAAAGCTGTAGATCACGCACAGTGCTGCTGCCCCGCTATCGTCTTTTTGCTCCGACACAGGGGTCAACAACCTGGGAAACTTCTCCCCAAGGGTGTAATACAGGAGTCCCGGGACATTGCATCGTAGCCAAATTTTGTCTGAGACAAGACAAATAGCTGTCCAGGCAGTGTCGACTGGTAGGTGCTGACTGCGAAAGGGCGGTGCCACCTGCTCTGCCACTCATTACATGCGCTGAGTCGCACATGATCTGCTATGGTATCCACGAAGAGGAACAATGTTGCCACCGACAGGGAATGTTCAGGACCGATCAATATACTGAACGGTAAAATCTGTGACCTGATTTGTGTTGCTCGTAAACAAGCGCTGTCTAGGGCATTTGTCTGGACTTATCACCAGCTTGTAAACCCCGTAGAAACTGATTGGCAAGAATCGACATGGCTCATGCTAGCTGCGTTTTGTTTGGTTCAGAGCGGGGAATAACAGCAATTCCCCGTTCTGTGGGGGAAGGGATCTAAGAACGTTGGGAAACACTGCTCAGGCACCTCAGATGTGGCCAAACGAAGGTTTCGTGCGTATCCACTGCTGAAGGCGTAATGCCAGCTAAGTTGACAAGCGTTGCGTCCATTCTTTCCATGCATCCCGCTTGGGTCAGCCTCGAACGCCAACAAAGACAGATTTGGATGTCCAGACCCGACACCTGTTCCCAAGCCTGCGGTGTCATGGTAGTGGCACGATTAACGCATACGCATTCGGTCACCCCAGCCCGGGTTGATCTCACAAGCTGTGGTGATTCGTTTCTGCCGTGTTGGTTTAACCTGGCAGCGGTGACATGTTGCTGCCGGTTGGCGGTTTGACCCAGGCTGTAGTGGCCTGCTCTACATTGCAGCGGCTTGCTGGGACGGCCGAGCTCTTCCCAGACCTGGCCGGCTGCCCACCTCTGGGTCAATGTGGCCACCTGCGCCATGGCAGCGGCAGCCCCAGCGTCATCTACCCCCCCCCCCCCCCATTCACACCCACAAAGCCACGCCCAGTCCCTGCGGCACAAGCGCACGGGTCCTTTCCCGCCGGCCACCCGAGACAGTGGCGACCAGCGGCTGCCCCCCTCTCCCTCCCCCCGCGGTCCGGTGCCTGAGCGCGCCCGTGCGCCAACCCTGGCAGCCGTGCGCCTGCTGGCCTATATTTACACGGCGCAGCGGGGCAGAGGCGCCCCAGGCAGAAGCTTTGTTGATTGAAAACACGGCGGCGGAAATCGGAGCGCGATGTAAGGGCGCCGCGACAGCGCCATTGGCGGAGCCGGTGTCGACAGGCGGCCGGCGCGGTCAGGGGTCATCTGGGAGGTCAGCAGGGCTCGCCTCTGACTTAGCTCGTCTGAACGACGGGCGTGGTGGAAGCTTCCTTCTGCTGAGTGATTGCGCAAGGGCCGGGCGTGGTGAACTTCGGTTGGCCGTTGGTTTTCAAGCCGCAGTCCGATTCTGTTCTGCTTTTGAATACTTACATAATGCGGGTAGGCCTAATGCGGTCTTCATGGGACAAAACACTCCCTGAACATGCCATGAAAATATCAAGTCCTGTCTTTGAATTTTATGAGCATGCGGCTATTAAGATATGGTTATTATCGCGATATGCCCTACTTAATTAATGACACAGTGGAATTGTACCACTCGGATTTGAATACATAACTTCATATGCATAAGACTAAAAGCAGGCAAATGGTAATCCCCGGATATCGCTGATGCGCAGAATTGTAGCGTGGGATAGTTGAATCAGAGTGCCGTGACATAACGGATATGTTTATCACGTGTGTTAAGCAAGCATGTGTATCGAGTACCATGCACCTGCCTCGACACCGATGAACAAAAAATAACGGGCGCTTTTTCATATCTTGTGGTTTTTATTTGTTAAGATATTTTGCAATCTGTTATTCAAAAAGTTGCAAGAAATTAGCAAACGAAGTGCGGCGTTCAAGGCGCTGATCACACGGCCCGCGCGCCGGCTTCATGACCCGCTCACTCGCTACACTTCACTCATCGGGGCAGTTCACAGCATTTGCACAGCTCAAGAATGCACCGCAAGGCAGAAGGGGAGTTACATAACATGCACGTGGGAGGGACCAGCGACATGTTGTTGGAAAAGCGGCGGACCTTTAAGTTCCCTTGGCGTTTGTACCACTTTTCCGTAATCGTTCTAAAAAGAGCGTTGAGGCAAGTTTTGGAATGTTCCCGGAAAAAGAAACAAAGCTTCAGCCATGCCATAAAGCTTGCCTGGCCGTTGGGCGGCTCTATCATGGAGCTCTTGGGTGGGTGTCCCCCTGGCAAGTGAGATCCAGGAGTCTGTGGCAAGGTCGACACTAGCCAGATACGCCAGGGCGGCGTAATGTGGTAGGGGGAAGTGCCATGGTGCATTCTACGGCCGCTAGCCCCTCGTGACTGATAGTGGCCGTAGAAGTGCCCTACGGGGAAGTGCCGTCCAGCAAAAAGACCGGATCACATGATCAAACAGGAATTGGTCGCCCCGCGGAATGGCCTGGGGTCGTTCATCAAAATGATTTGCACTTCGCTGCTCGGAAACGTAGCACGTAATCATGACCCTAACTAGATTTAAAAGCTGTATTTCTTATGCCAGTTGTTCATCCTCAACGCTGCAACAGACGTGGTAGTTAAAAAAACAACAACATTTGACGAGTTTATAGAACGGTGCACCGCAACGAGCGCACATTTGTCATACATATCAATAGTTGATCCCTGAGATTAAGGTTATATTCAGAGCAATTCAGGAATGCCCACTTTAAGTCAGTGGAGCCAAAGTCGGAAGTTGAATTGACTACGTATGGGGAACGGAGAGGCAATTTCATTACTCGTGTATCTACTGAACTATTTTTGTCGAGCAGCATAACGAGAGAAAAAAACATTTTATGGCTCAAAATGGCAAAATAAACAAATATATAACAATAAGATATGCATAGTAAACACTGATCGCTATGATTGCCATCATAACGGTTGTAAATTACATGAATAATAATAACAGCTATAAAAAATGCTACATTTTTACATTTCGTCGACGTTTCGTCAATCCGTTCACATAATCAGCATAACATAGAAATTTCACCAATCACACAAGCTGATATCAGGTAACATGGAGCATGGTCTGGAAGCCAGGCTTGTACGAAGCAAGGTTTGTGATGGACTAAAAAATTACAGAATACAATACCCAAACACCGTAGTTTTCAGCAAAGTACCGAACGCCAGAGAGGTTATTTTCATTTTCCATTTTTTTATAAACACAATATATGTTAATTCTTTCCACAGGGACCTACCTTGAAGCAAAACTGATTCCCAACAGTTGAATTGCCTAACACTACAGTCTTTACATGCTTCGTTTCGCCTCCGGTACGCAGTATTCGTATAAGTGCTCTTGGCTTTAATTATTGAGAGGGATGGCTTTCTATGATGGCTGCTCTAGACATTAAACATTTCAAAACTTTCTCGCGACTAACTTCAAGAGTATAAAAGTGATGAACCAATGTTTGCTGTTCGTGTCAACCTCCCGCAGTCATGGGGAATTTCTTTCACGTTTTGGACAGACCTAACCATGTAATGCACGTGGCCTGATGGCGGGCTTCCCCTACATCCCCGGCAAACGTCAACAAACCAGGGCGGTGTCCCTACCCGGACCTCCACTTTTAACGCCACGAATCACTCACCGATCGGAATCTCCGCGGGCAGCGCTATTGCCGCTAGCAGAACGTCACACAACAGGAAAGCAATGTTCCACACCGCCATCTTCCAGCTGGTCGGTGCACGTCTGGTGCAACACGTCCGGCGCACGTCTGGTGCAACACGTTCGGCGCGCGTCCGGCGCAACACGCTTCACGCGCCGGTAACGGCACTGCCAGCTCGCCACATCTCACAACACTGCCGGCGAACCGAGCGTCGCCCGAAGGCGGGACTTTCAGTTCTGCTGCACGAGGGTGCTCTCTTCAGGTAGCCGTCCTCAGACGTCTCAAGACGGGCTCCTCACGCTTTCCAACGCAGCCGTCCTCTCACCCAAGACAGCGGTATTCACGCCTCCCAAGACAGCGGTGTTCACGCCTCCCGAGACAGCGGCATTCAGTTCACCAAGACAGCCGCCCCTCGCCTCCCCAGACAGCCGTCCTCACGCCTCCCCAGACCGCCGTCCTCACGCCTCCCAAGACCGCCGTCCTCACGCCGCTCACCGCACCGTCCGCGCCGCCGGCACCAGCGGCCCGCCACCGGCTCCGCGGCTGCTGGCTCAGCCGTCCGGACTTCGCCGGATTCCGCGGGGCCGGCGCCTGCCAACGGGGCGCCGGCGCGCGACGCCACCGTGACGTCACCGCGTCAGAGCCGACGCGGCGTGCGGCACACCTGCAGCCAGGGAAGTGGCACGGTCGCAATGGATCGCACGTGGCCACACGCGGCCCCCTTCACAAGTGGCGTCGGCGGTTAGCCGCTGGCGACGGCGGTTGGCGCCGCACGGCCTGCGGCCAGCTGAAGAGCAGTGGCGTGTTCCTTTCAGTGGTATGCTGTATTATTCAGCTTTTATGAGGTCTTTGTGGGGCACACGAACGCCAAACTTTAGATAACGTTTTCAAACCCTGCACAAGAGCCTTCGTATGCAACACAACCCTCTCCTAATGATTCCTTGTCCACATACGGTGTGTATTTACATCACTCCCTCGGGATGCTTGGTCGTTAGAAGCATTTGGCGGAAAGTTATGTTCCGTAGCCCAAGTGCCGTGACCACACTATTTTGATGTACGTGTGTACCCGTTGAACTCCTTTCATTAATTCTTTTAACAACGATTTTATTCAGCGGCTTTTATGTCGGCATCAGATTACAAAGGTATATTTGTGGGAGGTTCGGTGGCCGTGCAGGTCGGTTGCAGCACCTGTGCGTTTTCCCATATAAATGCTAGCAATGCGATAACCTGTGCGTCTATTCTGACGGGAGCACATCGACGCGGCCCTTGACGAGTTGAGTGATCCGCTTCACAAGCATGAAACAACGCAACCTGTGCGCCTGTTCTGACGGGAGCACATCGACGCGGCCCTTGACGAGTTGAGTGATCCGCTTCACAAGCATGAAACAACGCACTGGTGATGAACAGAGCTTTCCGCGTTTTTTCAACATGTTTGGGAACCGCGAATAATATTTAATGGCAGTGTGCAGAGCGGGACGCATACCAAATAAAATATGATAGTTAACGTCACGAGTGATTAAAAGTACGCCGGCTACGGGGCCGAGCCTGTGATAACCCTGATATTAGATGTGTACGTGCTTCTGACAACGGTCTCAGAACTTGGAATAACATTGTCCAATGGTGATGAGGCGGCCAGTAGCGCCCGCATTGGCGGGGAATGTGAGAGGGTCAGTGGCTTCCCACTCGGTCTGCTGGCTCTTAGATGAATGAAAATATTCTGATGACGTCCGAGAGCACTGCTCCCTGCTCATCTAGAAGATACACTGAAGTGGCCAAGCGAGACGTGAGGCAAGAACTGCGGAAATTTCTAGCCCCCGAATAGGCCCTCTGGTGAAATTGAAATACGCGAAGTCACGTAATGCGGGAATTAGCGCATAACATGTGCGTGATCTGCAAATTGCCAAGGAAAGAATAATGTCGTTTTACGGTCTTTTCTTTCTTGCGGACGTTACGCATCTGGACACTGACCACGCCAGGCGAAAAATATTCCCTTGGTTACATGAACTTAAACGTTGCGTCACAAGAAGGTGGCGTTCGTTTGGCTCCAAAGTAAGCTGGAGGTGCGGAATAAAAAAGAATATCACTTGTTATAGAGAAAGCCAGCGCTATGCGGCTTCCAGTATTTCAAACATTACAAAGAACTTAAGCATGGTTTGTTACCACACAGAGCGTCATGTTACCCTCCCCATCCCATCACCTCCCACCTGTTTCGGGTCGTTTGGGTCGTCCCGTCCCACCTGTTTCGGGTCGGGCTTCATCCCCCACGCCCACTCCATGAGACAATGTATAGGCGGAGCCATATAATATATTTATTCACACACTTTTTAGCTACAAAGATCTTCGTAAAACGAATACCCAGTGATAAAACCAAGGAAGTAGTGGGGTGGTGGCCCCTCTATGCTAAAATGTTGCTTTCGTTATTTTCAGCGAGCCCTGGAACATTCAGGGGCCTGAAAGGATAAGCAGCCCTGACATGGACGGAGCTCCCGAGTGGATCATAGGGCTCTGACAGAATCAGAGGTCACAAGGCTGTCCGAGGTCTGGATTTCGCCCGGGGTTTGGAGCAGTCCGAAGATCCGGGTCGGGTTAGGCCCCGAGACAGTCCTTTGCGCTCTGAGCAGGTCAACTAGTCCGTAAGAAGTGAAGGCCTTCTTGGCAACTTCTTGGCAAGACCCTGTATGATTCTTTATTTAAAGGTCCCATTAGGGCCACTTGAGGCCAGTGAGGTTACCTAGCGCCAGGTCGTGACTGCCAGGGCCCTCCGCGACTGGTAATCGCCCCGTTGTGACAGAGGAAGAGTTCCTTTGAACCGAGTTCTTTGGGAGGTCCTCGTCGTCTTATACATTACAATATTTACTCGCGGTGACTTTGTACCGCCCCCAACCACATTTGTCTAGCATGCGGCAAATAGCGACGCATCATCGGTTTCTCGGTGTCAGTTGAAGGTGTATTGGTTGGTAGTAGGCTGTTGCGTGGTGTGTAAATAAGCGATAAGGGTGGAGGGGTTTGATTAGGTAAGGCAGTTTCTGCCGTTATGCAGTGTTGAATCTTCACGGTGTAAACCGCAACCTGAGAGCCTGCACGATTGGGTCATGCCTGGACGCAAAGCTTACGTGTCTTCAATGAATACGCCAGAGTCTGCGGTCTGCGGCTTATGTTGGCAGATATGTCAACACCAGGATGCGCCATTTTATTAGAATATTTGTTGCAATAGTCATGACATGTGAAGAAGCATATTTTGTTGTTCCATTGGCATTGCAGGCTGAAGTCTTGTTTATCAAAACTTGCCAAATTTCGAGACTATAAGAAACTAACTGAAAGGCTGTGTGTATACACCCTCCTAAACAGAGGGTGGTTACAAACCCACACATGGGATCCAGCTCCTATCAATTTAAATGTCATGTAATGAGGCAGTCATATGCATATTTGACCAGTTGTGGAGATACATTGTGATGCCATAGGATTGTTGAAACCCATGATTTATATGCTGGTTGGATTAGTCATGAAACTCAAGCTCATCTGTCAGTTTTTCCAAAATCTGGTGGCTTTCAGCATTAAAGTTTGCAGGGCACATCATCCCAGCTCTCTGATTTGATGGAAGTAGAGGACACCTTTGCATTAGCCTTTAGCACATTACAGTAATGGCTGTTTGTATACTGAAAGCTTTGAGTTTGGAAACAGGAAACCATGTTGTGAGGCAATATCTTGATATATGACATTGGCAGAAACTTGGGTGTCATCTCACATTAAGCATGTGAACTGGGAAGTTCATCAAATAGTGAAAAATGAACAAGTAATCATCGCTTAATAGGGACTTTAATATGCAGACCATTCATGCATTCTCCTTAATGTATGACAAAATTAGGACTCACATAACCTTTTGCCAGCAAGAGCTCATCATCAGATAGCTGAATGAGCTGTCTATGCTGCTGAATGAAAAAATGCAGACCTACAAGGGGTCTGACCCACTCCCCCCCCCCTTGCCCTTTGGCTGCGTCCCTGACTTCTATGGCTAGCAATTGTACTATCCTATTTTCTGCACATGACAAGCATAGTAGCAGTGATGCAAAAAGGAGCACTCATATCATGTGATCAGTGATTATCTCTCACTTCTTGCTGATTGAAATAGTTTGAGCCTGAAAAACACATCACTCATTGTCCCTGCTGCTTGCAAGGGCACCAGCTCACTGAGAAAAGGGACAATGTTTGCACACATGGTGGTGAGACACCCACTGAGATTGGGGCACTGTGGTGAAGGAAAACTGGTGTATGTGCTGTGGTGGCTGTGTGGGCATCACCAGCATTATTTCAGTGGTCAATGAAGGTAATCTGGTCACCCTAGTTGCTTTGTGGATGTGTAGGTCTGCTGTGTGGTCATCTTCCAATTTGGAGGGGGTATAAGCCATAACTGGTCTTATATATAAGCATAGCTGACCTTATTTAATAACATAACTGACCAGATATAAGCATAACTGACCTTGTTGTTTGTATGATACACACAGCCAAATACTGACCTGAAACTCTGGTCATTGATCATTTTATCATATCAAGCTGTTTTATTCATTGTTCATTCATGTTAATTCAGCTAGAAATGTTTGTAGCTTATGGCATGCCAACACATATTTAAGAGATGTGAAACTTATTGACATTGGTGATTAAACTACAACATGAAGCTCACAGTACAGCTCAATATGGAAAACATTGCATTAAGTATGTTATGCTGGCTATGATGTCTGTTTTCCTCTTCAATGACAAAGTTAACCAAAACCATCCTTTAGATAAAGTTAGCCAAAGTGCTCTTACAAATTATTCAAAATTGCACTGTTTTATTTTATTGTATTTTCTGGTCATTGTGGCATTGTTTGATATTGACCAAAGTGGATGTCCTGGGTAGGACCACCATAAAATGAAACTCAGGATTTTTTTCTGGATGGTGGGTGGCTGCATTCATGATAAATATTTTAAACTGCATTATTTAAAGGCAAATGACATTATTTCAATAAATGATAGTTTGAGATGAAAAAGAAGTACCAAGTTGGCTTAGGTCTAGGTCAAAACCAGCATCCAAGTAAGGTCTCCAACTCCATGTGTCATGTGATGATGATGGAGGTAATGAGCATGGATGCCAGAAACAAGCATCTCTCTTGTGTTTCCCATTGTTACACATGGTCATAACTAAGATTGTAATAAAGGAGTAGTTGCATTGAAAGGGCTAACCCAAAGGCTATCAACTTTATGAATCATTTTTGCCCATTTGATAGAACTATGAATGAACATGATGCTGTGATGTGCCATTTCTTTATAACAAATATTCATCTGGTAGGTATATAGACAAGGAGTTGTACAGAGTTAGCTGTTATCAACAGGTCAAGCTGTTGCTATTGAACAGTGTCAGATGGTGGTTGATACCAAGTGAGAAGTTATTCAAGCACAGCTTGATATTGATTGATTTTGTTGTATGGCATATTGATCAGAGGAATACTACAGAGGCCTTGTCTTAAACACTGGAATACCTTGAAGTAATGTGTTTCGGCCTCTGGGTGGATTTCTCCGCAATTAAGCTCAGTTAGCCTCTTCACTACTGCGTGGACCTCTGCTCAGACCAGAGGCTTGCCTTGATGGGTCAGAAGCTTTCCCTAGGTGTGCAGCTTGGTGGGTTTGTTTTGTTGTTGTTGTTTATTGGAACTTAGGGGCGCGCGAACTGCAGTGGTCATTTGGCGCCCATTTGGTGGGTTTGTGTGCAGCCTGTTATGATAAAGGACCTTTAAAAATGGTCTTTAAAGAAAGCCTTTATGCTCCATTGTCCAGGGAGTTCCAGAGACCACATGGTCTTAGACTGTTATATTGTCTTTCTCCAGATTGAGCTAGTAAATTTTCCTGACAAATTCTGTTTTGACAATTTCTTGCAGGCTATGTGGCTATGTTGTGTTAGGCCTGCGAAATGTTTTGCAACCAACGTGGCGTGGTGGGTTCGTTTGCAAGGTGGCGGGATGGGTTCGAGTCGCTTTAGGCTCTCGCTATTTGTCCCTGGCAGGTATGGCCTGCGCCTAGTGGCAGCGGTCGCGCTAAAGGTCGGTTGACGTCAGGGGTTAGGACAGACCCCGCCGAGCATTGCCGCACGTTGAGCTTTCGCCACTAAATTATACCATTGCCTGGAATTGCGCGATCGGATTGTGGGGGTCAGGGCTCACACAATAAGCGCTGCATAGCGTGAGCACTGATCCCAGAAATCCATCCATTCAAAGTGTTCGGATAAAATTTTGAAAAAAATCAAAACCAAACTGATACTTGTATCAAGATGTGTACACTTAGTCTGAGGTTGTATCCATATGCACTCACATGTACTTGCACATGCGCCTATGTGCAATTTATCGCTTATGTTTAAAAGGCAATGGGTGCGAAGAACTAAGATGTTTGATGGCTTATAAGCCAAATATTTTCTTATTTTGAGCAGATTTCCCAATGATAACAAAAAAAACGAACGAGGTTAATTATGTAAACTGGGATGTCAGGTATACGCGGCGTTTGCGTGGATTGGTTGGATTATTAAGTAATGTCTGTACTCTTGATCTGTGCCTGAATGGTCTCTTGACTGTGCTATAATGGAGTGCTGTCTTTGTTTTTGCAGGCTTGCATCTGCTGTTTATATTGTAGAAGTAGACATGTCGCAAGAGCAGGACCATGGAGACTCAGTCGAGCAAACTCTGAAGGTGGATGATGATGACCTTTTTGCGTCGGCTGTTCAGGTGAATTCCTTGTTGATATTTGACTACAAAGTCTGACAATCATACGAACTGAGAGTACACACCAATGTGTTACATCATCGATGTTTAGCCACCCTGTTCTGTCTGTTGCAATGCTTGCGAACATGGAGGTTTTTTGGTGAATAGTTTTATTAAGAATGTTGTGAAAGGTCATGAGGTGATGCTGACTGGCACGGGCATCTGTAGTGTGTTATGGTTGGCCATGGTTGGCCTGTATCTGTACTTTTCCCGTGCCTCAACATTGTTGCACTAGCATATTGCATTAATAGCTCAAAGGTAGTGTTTTAGTTGCATAGGCTACAGAAAGGGGCAAAACTTGTTTCAGCAGCATGAATTGAATGTGACCATGTCGTTCGTCATGGTGAGAAAATCTGGAAAGTAGCATAACGTAACTGAAAAATGGTTAGCACCGTCGCGAAATACTGCACTTGGTACATCTCACCAACCATTAATCGACAGCAACGGTTTGTTTGCGGGACAATCCTGTTCCGAACTACCATTCACCACTTGGTATCGGACGAGGTGTGTGTCGTGACCTCGCCTGTCGTGTCGTGACCTCGCCTGTCGTGTCGTGACCGCACCCGTCGTGTCGCGACCTCGCCTGTCGTGTCGTGATCTCACCTGTCGTGTCGCGACCTCGCCTGTCGTGTCGTGACCGCGCCTGTCGTGTTGTGACCGTGCCTGTCGTGTCGTGACCTCGCCTGTCGTGTTGCGACCTCACCTGTCGTGTCGTGACCTCGCCTGTCGTGTCGTGACCTCACCTGTCGTGTCGTAACCTCGCCTGTCGTGTCGTGACCTCGCCTGTCGTGTTGCTCTGTGGTACCCGCCACTGGCCGCTGTCTCGCGTCCTGGCCAGATATGCTGTGCCCCTGCGACTCGTTTCCGTTCATGTGTGTCCGGGTATCGGAGTGCCGTGTTGCCCGATGACCATGACCTCTGCTGATATGCCCTGACATGGCGTCACGTGCCCAGCGATCTGACTTCTGTGTTTCGGCCCTTGGCGTATGTCCCCGGTGATGTGCCCGGCCCTGGCCTGCCACGTCTCTCCGCGAGCATGTCATCTCCGGCTCGTCGTGACCTGCCTCCTCATGGCGTGACGTAACCTGCCCCGTCACGCGACTACAGTCGCCGCTAACGGAGAGCGCCGCCTCGCCGCCACCGCCACGCGCGGCGCCGGAGCCGGAGCCGGAGCCGGAGCGTGGACCGGAGCTAGAGTCGACCCACCTGGCCGACGCCACAGCCGAGATCAGCCTGGAGGACGACGAGTCGGAGCCGACGGTGTCCGGTGCGCCCCGCCTGGCGCTGGGCGAGCCGGAGCCGGCCGCACGCGAGAACGGCGCCGGCCGCGCCCAGATCAGCCCCCAGGTCAGGCCAGAAGTCAGCCACCGATCAGGCTTCTGATTAGCCGCCCAAGTCAGGCCACAGATTAGACGCTGGATCGTCCCCGGGTCAGGTCACTTGTCAGACCGTAGGTCAGCCACAGCTCCCAAGTCAGGTCACATCAGACGCCAGATCAGCCCCCGGGTCAGGTCACTGGTCAGACCGTAGGTCAGCCACAGCTCCCAAGTCAGGTCACAGATCAGACGCCAGATCAGCCCCCGGGTCAGGTCACTGGTCAGACCGTAGGTCAGCCACAGCTCCCAAGTCAGGTCACAGATCAGACGCCAGATCAGCCCCCGGGTCAGGTCACTGGTCAGACCGTAGGTCAGCCACAGCTCCCAAGTCAGGCCACAGATTAGACGCCAGATCAGCCCCCGGGTCAGGTCACTGGTCAGACCGAAGGTCAGCCACAGCTCCCAAGTCAGGCCACAGATTAGACGCTAGATCGTCCCCGGGTCAGGTCACTTGTCAGACCGTAGGTCAGCCACAGCTCCCAAGTCAGGTCACAGATCAGACGCCAGATCAGCCCCCGGGTCAGGGCACTGGTCAGACCGCGGATTAGAGCCTAGATCAGGACATAGATCAGCCCAGGTCGGGGTTCATATAAGCCTCGAGGTAAGGCCACCAGTCACGGCCCAGGTCGGGTCGCAGCTGGGGCCCCAGATCAGGCCGCAGGTGGGATCCCAGGTCAAGCCACAGATAGGAGCCCAAGTCAGGATGCAGGCCGCGCTCTGCCGTGGGTCGGAGGATGTGCGGCCTGCTCGCGGTGGTTGAGTGACAGCTGGATTGGTCGATGTGGCGGGCTGACGCGGGGAGAGGTCGCGGAGCGCGGTCTGGACGGACTGTCGGCGTCCCGCCGCCCGCTGAGGTCCCGTGTGCCGGTGCCGCTATGCGGGCTGACTATATTGTATTGTATATATGCGGGCTGACTATATTGTTGGTCGTGCCTTTGTGTCATCCATTGGTGGTGCCGCCGGCTCGGCTGGGTGATGTCACTGGCCAGTGTCGGTGTCCGTTGAGCGGAAGTCAGTAATACTTAACACGCCCCCGGGTGGCCGGCTAGATACCCTTCGCTCGGGTGGGGGTCAATTGATATCTCGAAACTGAGTAAGCTAGACACCAAATCTACAGGGTGTCTTGACCTGTACGTGATCTCAATTAGGTCAAAGTTTGGACTTCCTAGGTCATGACCTTCAGGTCAAATGAGGTTAAACAAGGTCAAATTCCAGGTTGGTCTCTAAAGTGCCCCCAGAACCTAGGCAACTGTTTCTAAGCAAAAGGTCACAATCTTATTTAAGTTTAGTGACCTTTTTGACCTTATTAAGGCCATGGTGACCAAAATCATACAAGACTGCTCTGAGTTTTGCATTTGAATAAGCGACAAAGATTATGCTAGGCAGCGTGTTCCTAAAACAATATGTCGACCCGCGGCATCTTAGGTCAATGCCCTATTCTGACCTCCAAGAAGTCAATGGAAGATGTATGATGCGGCTCCTGCTGTCAATAAATTCGAAATGAGCACCACAAAATGTTCCATACAGCAAGCGGTAGAGTTAAAAATCAGGTTGGTTTTAACCTTGGTCTGACCTTCATACCTGACCTTATGTCAACGTAATTTACTCATTCAATACTTTTGGGGCCTAAGAAAGCATCTCAGGGATGTATGGCTTCGTCAAACACTCCGCTATTATATCAGATTTGACGATTCCCTAGAAATTGCCTTCGCTGAAACCATGGCCTAATTTTGACCTGACATAGGTCAGCGACCTTACAAAGTACATCTAAATTTGTTGTTTCAAACAATCCGCTATTCAGTTGTCTACAGATATGCAAAGTTTGGCGTGGCTACGCCGCGCCGTTCGGAAACCATTCGGGAAAACCTGCGGGGGGGGGGGCAATTTGACCCCCCACCCCACCCGATCGCGTGTTAAGGTTCCCTGTCGCGAGTTGAGAAGAGCTGCACTATCGGTTCATCATGAGTTGAGAATGGTTCAGTGTGTAGCGCTTATGTTGTAACAGAATGGTCAGTTAAGATGGCTTACCAGCAAATTCTATATTGTTTTTTATCGCTGTCACCCGGGTCTCTCTGTTGACTGATTGTTTTTTGGCGCAGGAAGACGAACTGGAGCGGCAGGAGGAGGATGATCAGTTTATTCAGGTGCAGGTGGTAGAGCCGGTCAAAATCGGCGACGGCATGTCCTCCTATATGGCTTATAAAGTCACCACCAAGACCAACGTCTCCTATTTCACGTGAGTTAAGTTCGACCACGGCATGTTTCCAGCACGAATCGAAGCATATGTTTGTTCGCGATATAATGTAGATTGAAAAGCATCGCAGTGAAGCCCAGGCCTTCAGATGGTCTCATACATTGAAGCGTTTGGAGACCAGGTTGTGGTCGTGTGGACAGGAGGCCATTCCCCATGTTTGCATCTTCCCCTAGCCATCAGACGACGGCGACTGTGGACTGTAACCTGTTGACGACAGTGCTCGGATGCGTGCGGACCCTGGCCCAGCTAGGTACCCCACCTCCCACGGCGTTGAAAGCCGTTCGCCAAAAGTTTCCTCTTCCGAGAATTGAACCGCGAGTCCGGCGACGTCTGCCGCCCTGTCGGCCGTGGGGTCTGATCACCGACGCTGGCCCGTGGTGCCGGCAGGCGGCAACACTTCTCGGTGATGCGTCGCTTCAGCGACTTCCTCGGCCTGCACGACAAGCTAGTGGAGAAGCACATCCGCTCCGGTCGCATCGTGCCGCCGGCGCCCGAGAAGAGCGTCATCGGTCAGTGGAGCCGCGGGCGAGGCAGGGGTCACGGCCGGGTCAGGGGTCGCCGGCAGACGCGGCGGTCAGTGGAGCCGCGGGCGAGGCAGGGGTCACGCCCGGGTCAGGGGTCACCGGCAGACGCGGCGGTCAGTGGAGCCGCGGGCGAGGCAGGGGTCACCGGCAGACGCGGCGGTCATTGGAGCCGCGTGCGAGGCAGGGGTCACGACCGGGTCAGGGGTCATCGGCAGACGCGGCGGTCAGTGGAGCCGCGGGCGAGACGGGGTCACGCCCGGGTCAGAGGTCACCGGCAGACGCGGCGGTCAGTGGAGCCGCGGGCGAGACAGGGGTCACGACCGGGTCAGGGGTCACCGGCAGACGCGGCGGTCAGTGGAGCCGCGGGCGAGACAGGGGTCACGGCTCTGGTCGATGATACGCTAGTGCTGGGGCGTAAGGAGTTGGGCGACAACGTGGGCCGCTTGGCTCCTGCCTTTTGGGGACGGGGGGGGGGGGGGGGCGGAACAGGAAACCTGCGATTATCAGCTTTGAGTGGCTAAGAGATGCGCGTTAGCGAGCAACATCATCTGAAAGAACGCATCTGTTCCCGATTCAGTTCAAGCTGGTCAGGGCGCGCCGACTGGTCTGGGACAAGCTTTAGTAGCTGACTGCCACGCTCACCAGGCGGTGCGGTATAGCTGCATCGCTTCAAAAGGAGTTAGTGCGGTAACTGCGTAGCACCGTCCCAGAGTGTTGATCCACGTGCTGAGTCGTCTGACAGTGAGCCTACCATCGCTTTCTCGTGCCCGGCTTTCCTCATGCCACCCCTGCACCGCTACCGGCCATCGCTTATGGACACGGCCCCCACCCCGCAGGCACCACCAAGATCAAGATCGGCAGCGGGGGCGGCAGCGGTGGCGGCGGCGGCGGCGGCGGCACCCACGACCACACGGGACCGAACGAGTTCATCGAGCGGCGCCGCGCCGCGCTGGAGCGCTACCTGAACCGGACGGCGGCGCACCCGACACTGCGCGCCGACCCAGACTTCCGCGAGTTCCTCGAGCTCGGTCAGTGCCGCCGCCCCGGCGGTGGCGGCCACGGGGGAGGGGGAGGGCACCTGCCGTGGTAGCTGAATTGGGGCGATAGTGTTGCCGTACGGCGGAAATGTCTGCGGCTGTAGTTTGCTGCAGGCTCTAGGTGTTATTTTCCCCCGTTGTGCAGTGGAGTCCAGGACGTTGTGTGTATGTATGTATGTGTGTGGGGGGGGGGGGGGGGGGGGCGTCCGTTCAGTTATTTCGCGTGCGGCACTGTGCGTTATGCTTCGTAGTGTTGGTAGAGTGTTCATGGAAACAGCGTCTACAGTTGGGGACGTATCATCCCTGTTTGCCGTGTCAACGTGTAGTCTCACTTTCCTGCTGTGTGTGTGGCGTTTGTGCCGTGCCAGCAAGAGGCGTGAGTGTATTGCGGACGCACGTGCGGTGCCACGCTCTGCCGTTCCGTGACGGGTGACGGTGGTGACGGCGCGCCCCCAGACGCCGAGCTGCCGCGCGCCACGCAGACGTCCGCCCTCAGCTCGGCCGGCGTGTTACGGCTCTTCAACCGCGTCGGCGAGACCGTCAGCAAGATTGCCTTCAAGATGGACGAGTCAGACGTGGTGGGTAGGCGTCCGGCGCCGCCGGCTAGACGAGGGGGGGGGGGGGGCGGGGTCCCGACGGACGCGCGGGACGGGCTGGAGCCGCCGACCGATCCCCCACACACTGCCTCGCATCGGTGCTCCCGCCGCCGTACCCGGGCGCCATGCGCGACTGCTGGCCGCCACGCCAGGGCTCGTGTGTGACCGCTGGATGACGGTCGGCCGCCGCGTCCTGCAGCTTGGGTCCCACCGCGCCGTCCCTACCGCCGTCTCCTGCGCCTGTTTGTGGTGCTGCCCTGTGTCTGCCGCCTGACTGACGCACCTTTGTCCGCCGCTGCCGCCGCCGCCGCCGCCGCCGCCGCGCAGTGGGAGGGCCAGGTAACCGTAACTGTAGACCGCTGGCCGGCTGCGCTGTCGTCGCGTGGTTGCTCCTGTCCCTCTGTGTACTGCAGATGGAGGCCCCTGGCAGACGTAGGCTTGGCTGTGCGACGCGTATCGTTCTCCTGCCCGCTCCCCCCCCCCCCCTGCCCTCCCGGCTGAGGGGTGGTCCAGACGCGGTCAGATGGACCGGCGCAGTGGCATGGCCTGCCGGCGAGCTGACGTTTTGAGCTGAAATCCTTGTTGATGGAGCATGCACCCACACATCGGCTGTTTTTACGACCACTGTCGATGCCTAGTGGATGGTGTCAGGCAGATCGAAGTGGACACATAGAATCGGTGTTGTGACCTCGATGTTTTGATTCCAATTCTCCAGTGCCTCGTAGTGGATGAAGTCGGTGATGTCGCAGTAGAAGTTGTTATGAAGTGTGTGAAGTCGGAGTGCCCGAAGCGTTGCCACATGGGCCGACCCCGGTAACGGTCGGAATGTCACTCCCTCGACGCGCGTGGTGCGACTGATGCCTCGGGAGAAGGACGAGTGACTCGATCCTGACGCCGCTCGCCGCCGCCTCGACAGTGGTTCGAGGAGCGCGTGCAGCAGGTCGAGTCGCTGGACGGCCAGCTGCGCAAGCTGCACGGCTCGGTGGAGGCGCTGGTGCTGTACCGGCGCGAGCTGGCCAGCAGCACGGCGCAGCTGGCGCGCGCCGCCGCCATGCTCAGGTGAGACCCGCCGCCCGGTCGGCGGTGCCAGCCTTCCGGGCAGCGTGGCGGCGAGAGCGGGCCGGGTGCAGCTGCCGGCCCGGCTGCGATTGGCAGTTGGGGGAGTGGAGACCATCACCAGACAGGTGGTCTGACCGGTCCGACAGGAAAGGGCCGTGAAGTGGTTCTGACAGCTGCTTGCTGGGTTTGTGCTAAGCGTTGCTGGGGCGCTTTTCCGTCATTGGTTTTTTCGCAAACAACACGACGTCTGTACGTGAGCACGTGAACCGGTAAGGTGGCTTATCTAGCATTGGTGACCAAAAACTCTGCCATCTGTCGCGGCTTGTTCGACTTATCAGTGCGTTGCGGTGCAGCAGTGCCCTCACCTTGTCGCCGGCTTCCAGTAACGTGGAGGAGCACACGGCACTGTCTCGCGCGCTCAGCCAGCTGTCCGAGCTGCAGGAGCGCGTGGAGCGACTGCACACGCAGCAGGCCGACAACGACTTCTACATGCTGGCTGAGATGTTGAAGGACTACGTCATGCTGCTCGGGGCCGTCAAGGTAGGAGACACTCCTTATTAGGGCCGGGTTGGTCGGTCGGACCGATGTTTGCGCGCGCAGTGCTTAGCTGCTGGTGCCTACTTTAGTGCAGACGGAGTACAAGCATTGCCGCTCGGCCGGCGTGTGTGCTCGCTACCTACTGGCAGGCGCAGGAACGCGTGTTCGCCGCAATGGCACGCAGCTAACACGAGCCACCAGGCTGGGGTTTCATGTCAATTTTGGCTTTCAGTTTGCGGACGATAGGTTATGTGCCGCGCGCACGTAACGTTACTGGTGGCCGGGTAGAGTAAAGGAGCGGTGTAATATAACAATGGTCCCCTGCATGACCTGTTCTGCGAACGCGAGGAGCGCGTGATGGAGCGATTAGGACGAGTTGCCTGACGGTGATGGTTCTGGCAGGACGTGTTCCACGAGCGAGAGAAGCTGTACCAAACGTGGCAACACGCGCAGCAGACGCTGACCAAGAAGCGGGAGGTAAAGGCCCGCCTGGAGCTGCAGGGCCGCTCCGACAAGCTGCAGCAGCTTACTGAGGAGGTGACCGAGGTCAGTCGCGGCCCGTGTCGGCGCGTGTCGGCGGGGGTCAGTCACGGTAGAGGGCATGTGGGGCCAATCATGTCCGTTCGCAGGTGGTCAGCCAGCGCGTAGGTCACAGACCTCGGTCACGGCACGGGTCACAGGGGTCGTATGACGAGCAGGGATCTCTGAGATCAGTCGTGGCGGGGTCACACGGGTCGTGCGCATGGCAGGTGTCCAGAGTCAGTCCCGGCAGCGGTCACAGTTGTCAGTCACGACAGAGGTCATAGAAAGCCAATCACGCCAAGGGCTACAGGGGTCAGTCACTCGAGCAGTCACCACTGCAGTTTGGACAGGTGAGTGACGGGAAGGGTCACCAAGGGTTGATTGATGGAAATTGATTGATAGATGATAGAAAGGATTGATTGTTTTGAGGCTGTAGTGTACATTCGACGAATTTCTGCAATGTATTTGGTATAGTTCACTCGCAGGGGACATTTTGGGGCTACTGGGAACGGCTTTTTGATTGAGAGCAGGTGAAATGGCGCACGAGATTATTGTTCTCAGCGTCCAGCGTGGTTCGTTTTAGTTATTTTTCAACTAGGGCCGGGAACTAAGCGTGGGCAATGGCTCATTGTTCGACACGCCCGAGAACGTGTATTTTGTTGTCTTCAGGATATCACTGGTGTTGATATGATTTTGTGTATCTGCGATGCTCGTTCACTTGTTGCATGTTGATATTAATGGATTCTGTCATTCTCAGTGGGAGGCGAAAGTGGAGAGAAGTCAGGAGGAGTTCGAGCGCATCTCCAGGTCCATCAAAAAGGAAATGGAGATGTTCGACTGCAACCGAGTGAAGGACTTCAAGGACTGCATTGTCAAATATTTGGAAACGCTCATGGCCAATCAACAGAAGGTGAGTGTCCGGTGTGCTCGGTTTACGGGTGTTCGCGTCGTAGTGGTGTTGCTTGCTTCCTCCCAGGCAGTCCCCATAGGCCATGCTCCGCCGCTCTATGGCATGGTACGGCCAGTTGGCATGGCTCTCGTACTTTTAGCTGACTTCCGAAGGTCGATTTCAGTAGTGACGCTGCAATTTCTTCGGAGAAGTGATACCGCTTATATTTGCATCGGTCGATTCAAGCGGAGGTGTTGTTTGCGGTGCTGTTTTTTAAGTGTGTTGTTGATTGTCGGCGTGGCTGCTCTGGCTGAAAGCTATTCCGTCGTCCCAGCTGGAGCGGCCGCGCTTGCCGGCCGCCCTAGCCTCATGCTGACCGCTGGCTCTTGTTCCAGCTGGTGAAGCTGTGGGAGACGTTCCTGCCCGAGGCCAAGGCGATCGCATGAGCCCAGGTGGACCCCGCCGGTCCGTGTCATTCCTCAGTGGTCAGAGATGAGCCGCGCGCCGGCCGCCGGAGGGCAAGGGGCGGTGCCGGTCTCCGGGCGTGGGGGGAGGTGGGGCCGCCGGGGGCATTGCTGGTCCCCCAGGGGTGAAGAGGACCCACCCCGCCCCTCCCGGTCATCAGTTAGCCCTCGCGTTTCTTTTACGACGGTGTAATTCGTTTAGAGGTGGTGAGGCAGATGGTGATGATGTATCGCGAGCACACTTAATCGCTGCGTGGCGGCTCTTTTCGCTTTTGTACAGCTTTTCAGTTTATTTGCCGACCTGTGAAGCCGAACAAAAGCCGTTGCACATTGATAGTCACGGGAAGTTCCATGTACTACGTTTATGTCCTGTGATATGCATGAGGAGCTGGGAGACGTATTTAAACCGTTGTAGATTAGGTGGCCGCCGTTGGATCCCGAGCTGGTGAGCCTAAGGAGTGCCTCCGCCGTGTCAGAAGTGGGCGCTTGGCAACCGGGCCGAAAGGAGTTATCTTCTTTTTTATTCATTTCAAAGGGGGGAAGCCCCTATTTACGTCGAAAGGTTATCTTGAGAAGTACGTTTTCGAAAATACATTGCGTCTCTGTGCTGGGGTTTGGATGTGCCGTGTGCCATTCTGGCTGCAGGGATGCGGTAGTTTGTGGAGCGCTGGCGGGTGGCAGCCCAGCGTGCTCACCGATTAAAGGTATCGGGGACGCGGAGCACCGAACCACCGACTACCATTTCACTGCCCTATCGAAGTTAGGTCGGGGGTCACTACCAGACAGGGCGCGAAGACATCGCGAAGGGATGCCATTTAGCAAGCTCGCTTAATCTGTCCGAGGAGGAAATGTCTGATGAATGAGGGGCAAGTTCACCAAATCTACGCAGAAATAGAAACAGGAACACATTGGGAACAACTTCCAGTCACATGCCAGTCAGCAACCGTCGCGTTTTGAGGTTTTGCGACCATTCATGTATGCGATTCTCTCGTGCTGGGCCCCAGCCCTGTTGATAATATTTTGAACTTTCGGAGCGAGCAATATTATGGTGCGGCTATTGTGTGCCCTGCGTGGTGTGGCGAATGTATGTTATTTCCCGTCAGGCGTAGGGCGTCTGCAGCGCCCCGTCAGATCCGCCCGGTAGCAGCCGTCCACTTGCTGTCTGTGGCGTTGCGGTCCATGGATGGAGGCACGAACAGGGCGTCAGTATTTGCCTGAGGCGGGACGTTAACGGCGAGCTCGAGTCTGTGGCAGTGTAGAGCTGCAGGATAATGAACTACTCGTGGTAGGCTAGCTGGGTGCAGCCTACGTCAAGGATGCAGCTCCTCAAAAGTATGCAACGCCTGAGACTGGAATGGTCGGACGCAGTGTCCTATGTGGTGGGACGAATTCCCTGTCCGAGGTCGTGACCGTGTTATGTATATATTTAGGGATTGCCATCCCACCAAAACCAGAAAAGGATTGGGGAGCTCCGCTTCGTTCCGGAGACAGTCGGAATGGAATATCCTGCTCTGAACTCTCCGTCCGATTGCGTATCTTCTCTTCACCGCTCTCCCCTGCGAGCTCCGGCGGCCGGGAGATGGCGTTGCCCGTCTGTGTGGCCTTCTCCGGCCCTCGGGCGGCCGAAGAGGAGCTGTCAGAGCCGGCGGCGTTGGTAAGCCGAGCCGACGGCTATTCCTGTCCCGGGGAGGACTGACGCCTGCGGAGGCCGCCGATACATCGCCAGGGACGGTGACGCCGCCGCGCCGCCCGCCATCATCGACGCTCACGCGACGGGTGCGCGGACTCGGCGGGGACGGAGTCGGCAGCGGCAGCGATGACGAGGACGGAGACGGGGACGGAGTCGGAGACGGAGAAGGGAGCGGAGACGGAGACGGAGACGGAGACGGGGCGGAGGCGGGGATGGGGACGGAGACCGAGGGGGGGGGGGCCGTCACCTGAGACATAGATGGGGACGGGGACACTGTCGCTTCTGACCAATGGACGCTGGGCGGAGAAGACGCCAGGTTAAACACGCCGCACGCGACGAGGTGCCGCTGATGTTCTGGCCTTTTTGCTGTCAACGTCGCCCCGTGACGCGAAAAAAATAGTAACATCATGTTATGACTGGCTGCATGGTCTACAGCTTGTTTCAGTGTCTAGTTTGTGTGTCAATGTGTAGGCTTGTGGTTGTAAGTTTGTGGCCTTCGGTCTTCTGTCCATTTTTACCTTTTTGTGTCTTCTGGTAAAAGTGAAAACTATTGTCTCCGGTCGATGGCGGTCGACCAGACATTTCAATCAGTTCAGTAAGATGCTGCTCCATTGGAGGATTCAGCGAGATGTTAATGCAGTTGAGCCGCATGCGTTTCCACCTGTAATCATATCCAACATTTCCACGTAAATGGGTACAGCCCAAGCTAAGATAATGATATAGAGCGTTAATCATGCAGTACTCCAACAGTATCACCTACCATCCCAGGATAGGTAGCCACATGTTGGGAGCAGCGATTTGGCATTCTGTTGTTAGGTTTGTTGTCAGCACTAGAGCCTTGGCACTTGACCCACCAGCCAGGAACGTCCCCGCGCTCCTCGCGGTAACTGCGCGTCGGCTGTACATCTCTCGCACCCCATGAGGGGAGGGGGGGGGGGGCGCCCGCTCGTCACGGCCACGGCTCAGCGGCCGGCCCGCCGGCGGTGCCAGGCTCTCCAGGCGCGCCCGCCGCCAGGTGACTCGTCGCGCGCTGGTGGCAGCGTCTGTCACTCGAGACGAGAACTAACCGCCTTGTCGTCGGCGGCGACCGCTGGCTGTGTGGTGTGTTTATGCGGCGGCCCGAGCCGGATCACGGCAGTGTTAGAGGGCCTCCTGTCAGGCCACCTGGGCTCGCTGTTGATCACGCGTAATTGGCTTGATGCAGGGACTGTTCTCGGCTCGGTGAGATCTCGCGATCTCGGCGACTGTACCCCATCGGGGTGTTCAAAGAATTAGAAGCGTGAAAGTGTGTTCAAGAAAGTAGACTCAAACAAAGCAAGACAAACTAAAAATCACTCAAAGGCGCCTCCCAATAATGCTAGATGTTGTAAAGAGTGAACGGGCATGCTGATTTGCCCTCGTTTAATTTGGGTTATTTCATTGAATGCTTCAAGTAAAGATAACGTTAAACTTGTCAAGTGATGTCGGAAATACCCCGTAATCCGTGACCCTAGTTTCCTGTATAATTGAATCACGGAATTTCACGTGAAACGTTCTGACCTGCTGATAGAGTGACAACGTTACTCATCTCGTAAAACAAATGTTACGTGCTTACTTCGGGCGTAGCCGGAAGCCGCTCCGCGATCACCTAGAGTATTATTGAATCCTGTGGCATGCATTTGACGGCCAATTTCGATTGACTCATAGCTGAGCTGCGTCGATTTTTTTCTTCTAGAATATGAAGGAATCGACTTTAATGTTACCAGCATTTGCCACTGAATGGTAACTGGCGACTTGAGTTAATGCTTAATTTATTTGGATAGATGTTATGAGATGTCACGAGAAGTGGCTCGAGTTGTCACGAGAAGTGGCTCCATCGGGATCTATACCAGAAATAAACCACTTAATCTCGGTCGAGATCGAAGCCCAGCCATCCTGAACCTGCACCTGTAGTGACCTGTAGCGTCTCGATCCAGATTCAGTCCACGAGACATTATTAACTGGGATCGCATTCGATTCAGCAGAGTTGGAGTCGGACAGAAACCTGTTACGATACGAACGGTAAATTGGTCTATACAGATAGCACACAAATGTGCATTCTGCACGACGGGCGTCGATGCAAAAGTATGCGTAGAGTATAAGAATATCAGCCATGCAGTTCTCACGGCTCTTTTAATTGCGTGTGTGGACCAAGAACAATACGTCGTCATTCAGGGGGTCTGGTGGCTCCCAGCTGTTGTCGGTCGTTCTGACAACGGTACGCCGGCCATGCCAACTACTGTACAGCGTCCCATGGCCCTTACCTGCATCTCTATCCGACTCCAATCCAAGCAACCCGCCATGTCCTCGTCCCAAGCAGACAACGTCGGCGACACCGCCAACCCCACCCACCTGCCACCCACTACTCCCAGCCGCCAGTGCCAGCCCCTCCCAGTTCCCGCCACACAGAGCTTTCCGCCCCCGGGTCATCAGCGGCCTGTTGAGCACACCGCACCGCGTGTTTGTAGTGGCGCAGCGTCTGGTTTGACGCCATCAATCACGCCCGCCGCAGCCCTGCGACGGCGGAGGAGAGGCCGGCGCCGCCGGCGAGCGACCGCCGCCCGGGGAGGCCTGGCTCCCGCAGCGGCCGCGGCCTCTCGCGCTCCGGCTGCCGGGGAGGCGGCCGGGTCCCGGCTGACATTGGGAGCAGCGGTACCGCGGAATGCCGCGCACGCCGCCGCGGGTGGAGCCGGGCCATGTTGGCGGTGCTCGGCGCCGGCGGAGCGCGCCGAAGACGGCCGCACTGACGAGCCGCCACGGCATGAGCGTGTCGGCTGTTGTGCAGCCGCCGCCGCCGCTGTTGGGGCGCAATCCCAGCACGTCGCACCATCTTGCCCTGTGCGCTGCCTGGACGCCGCACCATCTTGCCCTGTGGGTCGGAGAGAACAGCAGGCCGACCGCCCACACGGCTGGAAGCGGTGCAAAGCAGTGACCTCATCAGGACTGACTACCTTCGTGGTCAAACTCAAACCGTTTTGTCTGCGAGCCACGGAGCCGCACTCGGGTCCGGAGTGGCACCGATGACGTCACGGTGCGGGCCGCAGGACGGCTGCGCGCCGCCATGCTGAGCGTGCCTCTGTGACTATGGCATCTGGACGGCGCCGCTGCCAACATGCCGGTGACAGGGCCAGCGACACTCCGAAATAGGTATCCGCCACTGCGGCGCGGCCTGAGATGGCGCAGGCGCCGGCTGGCCGTCACCGCCGCCAGAGGGCGCCGCCGGGGAGCATGAGGTGACCATTTGAAGTTAGATAAGGCGCGATCGCCCGGGCCGAAAACGAACGAAGGACCGATTGTATTGGGCTGAAATCGAAAAGGGCAGGTGAAATGGTTGAATTGCGTGATGCAGGTGAACTACGTCTGAGGAAACATCTTGCATGCCAAAAATAACTCAGCAACATTATTTCGTGTCTTGAAAAGAATCCTACTTTGCGTTCTTAAAAGCTGTAACGCGGTACAATCGATGGTTAGAAACATTTAAGCCAGTCAAAAGAGTAGCTGTCAGCGTCACGCCATGCTGGAGCGCCGGGGCTACACGCATGTCGTTCGGGTGGCGTTAAAACTCCTTCTGCCTGAGGTCTCGACCACCGTTCGTAATCTCATCACCGACCACAGTTTGGATGGCCTGACCTTGGTTTGAAAATCCGGATTTCGGCACCCGGCAATGTGAGCTTCGTTGCAGTCACCACACGGAGGTCTGCGAACGTCTCTGCGCATCGAAACATTTACAATCTCGCTGTGAGCTTGAATGGAAAAACCAAAAACATTCATAACGCGACAAATACCTCCCCAACGGAGTCATCGCTGCAACACCAAGTTATGTGATCAATAGTGTCTTAAGGTATTCCGTGTGGTACCCGCAATGACAACACTTAAGACATGATATTTTACTTCAACTACTGGC